GGTGTGTGCTGCCAATTTTAAACAGAATCTTTTGACTCTCTACCACGTAACAGGATGGTGGCTCATTGAAGCCCTTATTCCAACCCCACTCTTTCCAATTTCTGTTATATAGTATTTCAGTTGTTTTCAGTAGATCCTATTTCAGCATCTGTCCCCAATCCCATCAGTTGGAGGCAGTGTCTATGAATTGTCAAGAGAAATGAGGACAAGTATACAGCCATCACTTCTCCATCTCCTGCTGTTGGCTGCACCATCAGCTTGAGCACACTGCCCACCTACTAGAGGTTTTACTTTTAAAAAGGTAATTCATGTCCGGCTGGTGTGGCTCAGTGGTTGAGCGTCAGTCCATGCACTAAGAGGTCTCTGGTTTGATTCCTCGTCAGGACACATGCCTGGATTGTGGGCCAGATCCCCAGTGGGGAGCATGCAGGAGGCGGCCAGTTGATGTTCTTTTTCATCGATGTTTCTGTTTCTCTCTCCCTCTCACTTCCTTTCTCTCTAAAATCAGTAAAGGAAAAAAAATGTAATAAAAAAAAAGGTAATTCAAGCCACTGTAAAGAAATTGAAGCCATAGAAAAGGGCAACTGTGAATGCAATCACCAATCTCTGATCTCTGGTTTCCCGATTTGCCTGTCAAAGGCAACCACTGTTTCTGGTGTTTCTTTCTACACAAATCATGAGCACATTTCTATTGTACATTACTTTTACTCTGTCAAGTTTGCACCATTTACATCTTATCTGTAACTAGAAGAAAGTTTTCCAAACTTGTGGAGTGTCTGAGGATTGCACTCTGATTAACGCCATGTGGAAATTCGGTGTTTTCTCACCCCAGATGGGTGGGCGGTGTGACTGGAGTAGAAACGCACTCCCGGCACTGAACATGTGCGCCTCCAAACACGGTTCTAATGACCACACCAGGTGGATTCTGTTTTTAGGTGCTATCCACTGCTCAAAATTACACCATTTTTTAGTCTGCTTTATGCTTGGATCATGATTTTCTCATCAGGAAATTAAAAGCATCCTCGTGATGATCCAGCGTCTTCGTTCTCTTCACCACTGATGGTCCCAACAGGCCTGACTGGGCCGAACAGCTGTGGCTTCACTACTGTGCTTTTAGAGTCATTCCACCGTTTCTTGCATTTCATTGTGTCTTTTCTCTTTCTGGGATTCTGTGTTTGTCTGCATACACATCCTCAGGTAACCTTTGAAGGACATGGGAGATAAACTTTCTGGGTTCTTATATGCCCAAAATGTGTTTCTGTCTCACATGTGAGTGGTAGTTTGGGTGTGATTCAGACGTTTAAAGGTGTTTCTCGAGAAGTCTGATATGAGTCAGATCCGTTTCTTCTCTTCCCTTCCGGGCCACTGGCTTTTGCTTGCTCTTCTGAGACTTCACACGGACTTCCAGCCTCTCTTCGCTGGGGATGGCACTTCCAGGTGAACTTTTCCGGTCTGAACCTTAGGGCTGTCTTCAGCTCTGACATTTAAAAAAAGAATATTTTCTTGACTATTTCCTTACCTCTGTTTTCTCTATCTTTTTCCTTCTGGAATTCTTAATAGATAGATGGATACTCCCCTCCTTGATTGATCTTTGTCTTTTAAATGTTCTCTAATATCTAATACTTTAACTTTTCATTCTTCTCTGGAACAGTTTCTTGATTTTTTTTTTTCCCCTCTAGTTCCTCTATTTATTTAAACTTAGCACTCATTTTTACTTTTTTGGTTTAGGTTAAAAATTTAAAAATTTTTGAAAAACCTTTTTTGGATTCACATGGTTCAGATCCCTTCAGGTGGCACAGGGTGTATGTAATCAGACCCCCCAGGCCACATCGTCTTTCGTCACTAGGTGTTAGGCTTCAGCTTTGGGAGAAGGTGGGTGGTGGGAATAAGTGCCCAGCTCCATGGGAGATGGGGGCAACAAGAGTGGCAGAGGCAGCCCACAAAGCTGGCCCATGAGCAGTCTCTCTTTGATTCTTGTTAGTCTTCTCAATCTGTCTGGTGCCTTGTATCTGTAGACTTCATCCTCTCTTCCTGGCTGCCCCTGGTTCTGATTTAGGGCATCATGTCCCATCCTAACCATCCTGTCGGCCTTCTGCTTTCTAAGAATTCTTCAAAATCTCTCCATTTGCTGACATCATCTTCCACTTCCAGTTTAGGATGGTTATGAATTTATTTCCTTTGTTTCTCTACTGTCATTTAAATGTGATTTTCTGAGAAGTGGTAATTAGGTGGAATCTGGCAGGCCAAGGCCATATTTTAATCAGGAATTTGATGTAGTCAGGTTTGCATTGTAAGACAGTCATTCTGGTGCACAGCAGGGAGGATGGACTGGAGGGGACAAGAGTAGTAGGTCAGTCCTCCTCCAGGGAAGAGGCTGTGGAGATGGAGGCAGAGTCTAGCGATACTTGAGACATGTAAAATCTGAACTTCAACACCAGGGAACGTTGATATCTGATGCCAGCTGAGGGGTCTGGCAGAGTTTGGAGCAGAGGGGCCACAGGTAAAGCCACATAGCCAACCAAGAGACCAGGACAGGTAAGAATCCTGAAAACCAAGGTGGGCCCTGGAACCACAATCAGTGAACAAGGACCAGAGGCGTGGCTGATCAGGGCCAGCAGGGCAGGACTTACGGGCGGGCAGTCTGCAGTGCCCAGGCAGCCTGCAGTGCGTGTATCTGTATGGACACTACACAGTGCATGGTGTGCTATGGTCAGGAGATGGGGTCATGGGGGCAGGATCAAGAGGACTTGCTCACTTGGTTGCATGTTGGGCATGAGGGAGAGGGAAGAGTCCAGGGTGACTCCCAGATTTCTGGGCAGCTGAGTGGTGCCATCTCTGCTTTGTTAAAGTGTTGCATAGGTTATTTTTAAGGCACCTGCAGGTCGAGTGATACAGTAGATGGTTGAATTTGGGGGTTTGAGGCTGCTCAGTCCTTCCACCTGGCTCTGGACCCAGGTCCTGCTACTTTGCGGGAGCCCAGCATTGTTCGTTACTTCGGGCCTCTGGAGCCCGCTCTTTCCCTTAGCTATTCATACATATTTAAGCTCCTCTCACCTCTCTCAGCCTCACCTTCTCTGTTTGCTGCCTGTTTTGCTCCACTCTTACCACTCACAAACTTCCCAAAGCAGCTTTCTGTACATGACATTGTGATTTCCAGTGTTGATGTCAACACCACTGTCAAATCTGCCTTTAAAAAAAAAAAATAGGGCACTCTAAAGCTTTATTGAAAGACATTACAGAACAGGTTCTGTTGGTCACACTAAACCCACCCTCTGAGGGCTTCTCTGGTCCATCTGCTTCCCCTATTCCAGGATGCGAGCCTCCTCACTGGTCTCTCTGCACTGTTTGTCCTTTTAGCCCATTCTGTACAGAACAGCAGTCTTTCTAAAATGAAAACCTGATTGTACCTCCTTCCTTTACCTGGTATGCCCAGTACCTTACGAGAAGTTCTCAGCTCTCTCCCTGGCTGTAGTCCTTTCTCCTCCAGCCTCATGAGGCTCCTCTCGCTCTGGTTCCTCTGGTCTGGCTTCTCAGGACTCCTACATCCCTGGAGCTCACTGAGGTCAGGCCTTTGCACATGCTCTTCTCTCTGCCCAGCATGTTCTCTACCTGCTGGCTCTTCCTGATTTCCACTACACTGTCTCTGGGAGGCGCTCAGAGTTCCCTTGCAGCTCTCTGCATACCTGCAGCCATTTCTTTCCACTACACACACACGTGTGTGTGTGGTTTTTTTTTTTTTTTTTTTTTTTTTAGAGAGTGGAAAGGAGGGAGGTAGAGAAAGATAAACATTGATGTTGAGAAAGGCAGACTGATTGGTTGCCTCCCAAACAGCCCTGGTCAGGGAGGGGAAAACCTGCAACCCAGGCACTTGCCGTTGACCAAAATCGAACCCATGACCCTTCGGTCCGAGGGCCAGTGCTCTAACCACTGAGCAAAACCGACCAGGGCATTCAGCTATTTTCTTATTTATTTGTAATTTGTTTAAGGCTGCCTCCCCTTCTCCATTATAAGCAGGGCTCATTATCTCCAGTGCTTGGTCCAGTTACTTGAGTGTAATATATTTAGGAGTTGGCAGTGTGTGTGTATGCACGTGTGCACCCGTGCACCCGTGTCTGTGCATGACGGGGGTGCATGTGTATACTGTTGGAGGTTGGCCCTGATATGGACGAATGATGAGCTTGCTGCTTGGACACGAGAAGTAGACTGTGGAGAAGTAGGAGGAAAGCTAGACTGGCTTCACCAGAACTATCAGGGGGGTTTCGGCAGGGAGAGGGTAGCAGTCTTATTGAGGGATAAAACAGCTCCTAAATGTGGCCTTTTCAGGAATCATTAGTAATTTAGTTTTTAATAGCAAAGACATTTAAAAAATTACAAAACAAATGCAGTATATATGTGTGTATACATACACAAGTATACACAGATTACTTTCATTTTGTAAATGCCCCAGTATCAAAATATGCACGCACATACACACATTTTTGTATCCATTTGATTAATCTAATGTGGTCTGTGGCTGCAGGAAGAATGAGTCATTCTGAAGTAGTGTTTTTTCCCCCACAACTTCTAAGTTACAAAACTAATACAATGAATACTCAAATTCTCTTCACTTAAATACACAAATTGTTCATATTTTGCTACATTTGCTTTCTCTCTGTCTCATATACACACTCACATCATATTCAGGAATTTTAACAGAACAGCCAGTCTCTAGTCAGATGTCCCCAATTACCCCAATCATGTTATTGATATTTTTAAAAACCCAGGTTCTAATAAAAAAGATCATGTGTGCATCTAACCCTGTAGTTTCCTTTAGGCTGGAACAGTTCCGCAGCCTTTTTCTTCTATCTTTCAAGACGCTAGCATTTTTGAGGAGCCCAGGTTATTTGTTTTCTAGGAAGTCCCTTACTTTGGGTTTGGTTGTTTCCTTATGATTAGATTCACAGTAACCGTGTTTTGTTGTTGAATGCTGGGGTGCTAACAGCATAATGTGTTTCCGTTTCAGTGCATCACACAGGAAGCAGTGTCAGTCTGTCCTGTTGCTGGTATGTTACATCCCATCTCATGGTTAAGGCTGTCTACCAGGGTTTGTCACTGTACAGCTATGTGTTCCCCACCAAGGACTCTTGCCTGAATCAGTTATTAACACAAAAATGGTCATTTCCTTTTTTCTCATACCTTCCACCTTTATTAATTAGCATCCTTCTATAAAGAAGAGGTTTACCTTTCCACTGTTCTTCCTTCAATGATTTTTTAAGTATTAATATGGACTTATGAATTTTAGTGTCATTCAATGTGTTATAATCCATTCCTGTAACTCCTTTGATGCTCAAATTTGGCCAGCGGGAGCCCGTTTAAGTTCACTTTTGTATGAGTGTTCCTGTTAGTTTCGATCACTTCCTTGCTTTCTGGCATAGAAAGGTTTTTCAGACTCACCTGGTGTTTTCCAGCTTTGGAACCTGCCATTTCTCCAGGTAGCCTATTTCCTTTCGGTGGAGAATGGTCTTTAGAAGCTGAGATTTGGGTAGATGTGCTCCTTGCTGCTGGGGCATCATTCTTTCAGGCCCTTCAGTGAACTAGATGTTTCCTTTTCTGACAGCAGGCTGGAAGAACTCGCTTCCAGTAGAATGCCATCAATCAGTGAGTAGGCATGTCCAAGGTAAGCAGATTATCACTTGGCAACTATCATAGTAATAACTGGGTTAGGCAAGAATCATTACTAAGTGCTAAAACCCATTGGTGAAAGTTTGATGAAAAACAACATATTTACAAAGTCTCACGGTACCTACCACAAGATATCTACTCATTACAAAGGAAACTAGAAACAGTGGAGGAACCTGGCCGACACCAGGCTAATCAAGGGATCCAAGTTAACATCACCAGCCATGGCACATCCTCACATCATTGCTTCCTGCTGTCTTCTAGCAGGTGTGTGTGGATATGGAAGCCGATGATTTGGTCAATTACTGTCCTAGCTGGAGTATACGCTTTAACCTCAGCCGTGGAAAGGTCCTTTTTGGGGAACGGACAGGGTCTCTTTTTCTTCTCTGATCTGGTTTCAGGCCGTGGCCCTTTCTCTCAGGGCTCTGATTTCACATGAAGGAAATTTCACCTGGAGCCCAGCAGCCTCGGGCCGTCTCTGAGTCTCTCCCAATATATGAGACCAAATATGGGACTCCCCAAAAAACAGCCTCAAAGGGGAACTCTGGGCCCCCACCTCACTCTCAGTGGGTTGAGTCATTATCTGAGCACTCCAGACTGCCTCCTGTCGACACAGCTGGAGGGAGTGCTACCTGCCCTCCTCATCCGTTGTTCTTGGGTGACTGTGAGGGACAAATGGTATCTCTTTCAACCACCGTTCCATGTGGCAGTGGGCTCAGCTCAGGCCCCGACTCGGCCCACCCCTGGAATTCAGACATGTCTGAGCTTATTGGAGAAGATGAGAACCTCTCAGGAGCCAGAGTAGCTGAGGGTCCTCGTCTCCTCAGAACAGCTTAGCTTGAAGGTAAACTCTGGTGCCCGCAGGGTTATCTGTCGAGCTGGCAGGCACTGTCCTTTCCTCGGATTGCCCCGGGCCCCAGCCGCGGCCATCGCAGACTGTGGGGCATGCAGATTGCCCTCATCTAGTTACTACAAATAGTAAATGAGAAACCTTCTCACTCCCAGACCTGAACTTCATATAAATAGAACCAGACAGTATCTACTCTTTTTTTCTGTAAAAATGGTTTTACTTGTTCCTTAAATGTTTGACAGAATTCATGAGTGAAGTCATGTGGGTCTTAAGTTCTCTGTGTGGGAAGGTTTTTGGTTATGCATTCTATTTCTTTAATAGAGACAGTGCTGTCCAAATTTTTTATTTCTTCTTCTATCCATGATAACTTTTAAGAAACCCTGTTTGGTCCCATGAGAAATCTGAAAAATGGGAAGCAACTAATGTAAAAACTTCCCTCTTATACAGATCTCTCGTGAACTAAAGCTGAAGCGCAAGACACATTCACATATCCCATATCCCATGCAAGTACGCCTTAAACATGTATATGTGATTCAGAAGCCAGAGTTCTGCCCAGCTGGTGTGGCTCAGGGGGTTGAGCGTTGACCCATGCACCAAGAGGTCGCAGGTTTGATTCCCAGTCAGGGCACATGCCCAGATTATGGGCCCAATCCCCAGTGGGAGGTGTGCGCAGGAGGCGGCCAATCGATGTTCTCTCTCATTGATGCTTCTTTCTCTCTCTCCCTCTCCCTCCTCTCTCTAAAATCAAAAGAAAAAAAAGAAGCCAGAGTTCTGTCCCTTCTTAGAAATTTGGCCTTTTGTTCAGCTTTGACTTGTTTTCCAGGCCCAGTGTTAGGTGTTTGGGACACAACAGTGTGTTATATACAACAGATGGAGTCTATGCCATTGAAGAGTGCATGATTCTGTGGAAGGAGGCAGAAAATGAGGTTATGTGCAAGGTTCGTGGGAGGTATGCTGTGGGAACCCTGGGACACCATGGGAGCACAAGGGTGTACTTCAATACAAACTGGTCTGCTCCTGCGTGAATTTCGGTAATGTGAACTAGTGCACGTGTGAAAGGTAAATAGAGGAAGGACGTTGGTACAATGCACACACCTGCTTTATTCTGCCCAGGCAAAAAGAGCTGAGATAGTGGGAGTCACATTACAATCTTCAGCAGGAAAGGAAAAAGCACTTGGTTGACTGCCTGGCAGCAGGAGCCATTTGGTCACTCAGGACCAAGGAGAAGAAAACATTGCTGTACCTGGTCCTCAGTCCTCAGGAAGCCACATCCCAGCCTGTTGGCCTTGGTCATGAAAGGCCACACTGCCCAATGTGCCCATTTAGTAACTGTCCCTTGGCTCAGAACCTTTTTCATCTGCATTGTCTTGGCACCTGTCAGTCTTGCACTAATTAAAATTTTGCCATTAGACTGTTTGGGATACATTTTAAATATTCACTGTGGCAGCCTCTAGCCCCATTGAACTGCCTGCCAGGGTGGTCTAAGGTATTTTGTTAGTGCTCTAGTTACAAAATTTTGTAGGTTTTGAGTGGTCTGTCCTAACTCCATTTTCACATAAGTCCTGTTATTATTCATGTGCAATTTTAGAGAACGTGAGGTTTTCTAAGAATATATATACTGTTTTATAGCAGAAATGTTTATATTACAGAAGAATGAAACTTGTGAGCTAGGCAGACTATAAAGAAAAAAGTCCCGCCCTGGCCAGTTTGGCTCAGCGGTTAAAGCGTCGGCCTGCGGTTCGGAGAGACCTGGGTTCGGTTCCCGCTAAGGGCATGTACTTCGGTTGCAGTTTGTCCCCGGCCCTGGTTGGTCGTGCGGGTGGCAGCCACTCGATGTGTCCCTTCACGTCGATGTTTCTCTCTCTCTCTCCCTTCCTCTCTCTCCCTGCCACTCTATCTGTACAAAAAATGGAAAAATATCCTCGGGTGAGGATAAAAAAAAAAAAAGAAAAAAGTCCCTGAATAAACAATTTTAAGAAGCTGTGGCAGAACTCCACGTGCATTTACTTAGTGGTTTGCATTTTTAAAGTGCTTTGTACACAGCCCAGCCGGTGTGGCTCAGTGGTTGAGCGTCGACCCATGCACCAAGAGGTCACTAGTTCGATTCCCAGTCAGAGCACATGCCTAGGTTGTGGGCCCAATTCCCAGTGGGGGTTGTGCAGGAGGCGGCCAATCGATGTTCTCTCTCATCAATGTTTCTCTCTCTCTGTCCATCTCTCTTCCTCTCTCTCTCAAGTCAATAAAGAAAAAAAATTAAAGTGCTTTGTACACATTTATCAATATTAAAAACCCAGCAGAGCCCTGGCCAGTTTGGCTCAGCGGTTAGAGCGTTGGCCTGTGGACCAGAGAGTCCCAGGTTTGGTTCCCGCTAAGGGCACATACATTGGTTGCAGTTTGTCCCTGGCCCTGGTTGGGTCATGTGGGTGGCAACCACTCGATGTGTCTCTCTCACATCGATGTCTCTGTCTCTGTCTCTCTCTCCCTCTCCCTCTCCCCCTCCTGCTCTATCTGAAGATAAATGCAAAAATGTCCTCGGGTGAGGATTAAAATAAATAAATAAATAAATAAATAAATAAATAAATAAACAAACAAATAAATAAATAAATAAATAAAAGCCCAGCATGGAGGTGGGTTCTGCAGCCACTACTATGCCCATTTTCTGATGCCAGAGCTCAAACCCTATCCAGCCCCTGGCTGGACCAGCCAGATTCAATGTCACTGCCCAGGGGAGCTTCCCCGACACCTGGGAATTGTGATATCTAAGGCTTAGAAGGTAGCTGGTCTCAGCTGAGGACTGCACAGCCAGGGAAGGCCCTGCCTCAGAAATAGGCCAGCGATTGCTTGCAGGACTTGGTGGCTCCCTCTTTAATTATGTAACCTCAGTGTCCACACTGTTCCTTTCTGTTGATTCCTTCCATGTGACTGTTACTCTGTCAGTCTCCTAGCTAACGAGCCCTTCAGTGGAGCACTGCGCAGCTGTGCGGAGCAGTGGGGCACAGCCACTAACCAGAAGGTGGTCTTTCACAGAACACCCCTTTGTGTGGATTAGAATTGCTCCTGTTTGGAATAAAAAAGCTGCCTATCTTTCCTTTATTCATTTCTATGTTGCATTTTGTTTATTTCCTACACTTGGGACAGACATCTGACTTCCTTGACTTTACTGCTAGGATCAGTGCCCTCTACAGAATAGCGCTGCCTGACATAGGGGTAGATGTAAGAAAGGACGTGGCCCTACCTTTCAGGAGTGCTTTGGACATGGACACATAGACACCCCCCCCCCCCCGACACACACACACAGATGTTCTGAGAGCCACTGGTCCACAGGAAGCAAGGGGTGGCATCCATAAGCAAGAGGTGGGACCAGGTTGGGAGATGGGCATTCAGGTAAAGGACAGAGGCACAGCTTGAAGTGGAAGTGAGAAGATATGGCAGGAAGTTAACAGCCTGCATAAGATGCTAGAGGCCCAGGGGTCATTCCTTTCAGCATCCTGCCCAGTGCACATCCCTATCTCCACCCTGTCCTAGGCATGGGCATCATGGATATTGTTCTGCCACTATGGAGCTGGAACTCCAGTGCTAAAAGTGCTTCTGTGTCCTCCAAGACAATGAGTCTCTTTGTTGCCTTTTAAGGACTGCCTACCAAAGGGTAGCAGAAGCCTCTTCCTGCAAGTCTCCATGTTCCCGCTCAGGATGGGGGCTCCCATGGAACCTGCAAGCAGCTTTGGCAAGGGCAGATGTGTCTGGGGAAGAAAGCGAAGCAGCTGACTTTTGGCTGGGTGACAAGGCAGGGGTGGAGCTAGGATTTATGAGAAGAGCTGTAAATGACTTCTGGCAAAATCAGAATCAGATTAGACTGGGTTTGTTTCCTCACTGCAGCGTAGGGACAGCAGGCCAATAAATTAACCTCTGAACCCATTTCCACATCTGTAAACTGGAGACAGTGGCTCTGCACTTGGAGGCACGGTCTGAGTGGCAGGTATCAGCTAGTAGCTTAGTGCCTCCCAGAGCCAGTGCTTAGGCAGTGGACGCTGTCATTAATGTGCTCTGTACAGCTGGGGAGGGTCTGAGGCATGTGTCTCCAAAACCTGGCATTTGGTCATGTGGTTCAAAGGCTGCTAGAATGGGTTAGGAGAAAATTAAGAACTTGCTTTAGATGAAGAAATGTATGAACTTCATTTTTTTACTTCAAGTTTCAAGTACCATTAGAATATTAAAGATGAAAATGAAGACATGGGTTATAATCAGCTTTAACCAGGTATTTCAGGTCCTCAGAAAATATTTCTATTGATTCCAATCTCACAGAGCTCTCCCCTGACTGGCTGGACAAAAGTCCCACCTCACTTTCTCAAGTACTGTGCTCTCTGGGACATCAAATCCCTGGGTCCTGGCCTTGACTGAGACCTGCCTCCTCCCTCCCCTGCACCAAAGACACTGCTTCCCTTCCTGCGCCCTGACCTGAAATGGGGAGTTGGGCGAGACTGTTTCTTGGTTCTCTGCTCTCCTTTTCCGAGTAGTATCCCTTCCTCCTGCAAAAGACCCGAACTGTCCAAGTTCCCAACGTCCAAACACTGCCCGCTCCTCACTGCTGCCATCTCCCCTAATGCTATTAATCATTCTTTCTTTTTTTTTTTTTTATCCTCACCCGAGGACATTTTTGTTCAGATAGAGCGGGAGGGAGAGAGAGAGAGAGAGAGAAACATCGACGTGAAAGGGACACATCGAGTGGCTGCCACCCGCACGACCAACCAGGGCCGGGGACAAACTGCAACCGAGGTACATGCCCTTAGCGGGAACCGAACCCGGGTTTCTCAGGACCGCAGGCCAACACTCCAACCGCTGAGCCAAACTGGCCAGGGCTATCATTCTTTTTTAAAAATTTATTTTAGGGAGGAAAAGGGAGAGAAATATCAATGAGAGAGAAACATCAACATTGAACAGCTGCCTCCTCTGGGGATCGAGTCTGCAACCCAAGCATGTGCCCTGACTGGGAATCAAACTGGCAACCTCAGTGCATGGGACGTCACTCAATCCACTGAGCCACTTGGCCGGGCGCCGTCGTCATTCTTGCCCACTGCACTACCTGCTCAGCTTGAGTGTTCTGCACCTGCTCTCAATCTTTCACTCTTCCTCGCCTCTGACTCCCATGGTCCAACCTGAAACTTGTCAACAACAAAATCTGCACAATCCTCAAAACCACAAAGGCTTCCCACTATATTTTCTAGCAAGCTCCCTCTTCCACTCCGAGAAAACTCAGCTGTCCCAGGCTGCTCCTCTCCCTGAGGCGACGGCTTTCTTCACATTTGTCTGAGGTAATAACAGCTCTCAAAGAGGAGGCTGCCCTTACCGTCTCACCACCCACTCTCACCCCGAGTCAATCCTGTTCTCTTGCTTCCTCCTGCCACAGCGGGAAGTGTCTCTCCACATGTGCCCTGTACTCCGCGTCTTCCAGTCTCCTCAGAGTCTTAATTTTTAGTAATCTTGCCTTTCTTCTGCTTTTTTCTCTCCTTGCTGATCATTTGCCTCAAGATACGAACATCCACTATTCTCTTGATTTTAATCTCCTTGCAACCCATTCTTTCCTTTAACACCGTTTCAGTATTAATTAAATGTCAATATATCGCAGGAAAAAGTCCTAGGCGTCACCTTGGCTCTTTATCTTCCTACATCCAATCCATCTTCAAGACCTGCTGGTTCTACCTCCAAAGTGTGTATCTTTGCTATCACCCTGGTCCAAATCAACATTTCTTCTCTTTTTGTTTCCCTGGTTGTATTATGTGCTTATCTCTCTCTCTCTCTCTCTCTCTCTCTCTCTCTCTCTCTCTCTCTATATATATATATATATATATATATATATATAATTACAATTACAGTTGACATACATTAATTTTAAGTGTACAACCCAGTGATTAGACATTTATATAATGTATGAAGTGATCACTCTGATGAATCCAGTACCCACCTGGCACCATACATAGTTATTACAATTTAATGACTATTTCCTATGCTGTACTTTACATCCCCATGACTGTTCTGTAACTACCAATTTTACTTCTCAATCCTTTTACCTTTTTCATTCATACCCCCAATACCTCTCCCATCTGGCAACTGTCAAAATGTTCTCTGTATCTATGAGTCTGTTTCGGTTCTGCTTGTTCATTTATTTTGTTTTTTAGATTTCACATAGAAGTGAAATCATCTGGCATTTGACTTTCTGTCTGACTTATTTCACTAAGCACAATACCCCCTAGGTCCATCTATCTTATTGCAGATGGTAAGATTTCATCCCCTTTTCATGGCTGAGTCATATTTCATTGTATAGATGCACCACTTCTTTATCCATTCGTCTTTTGATGGACACTTAGGTTGCTTCCATGTTGGCTATTTAAATAATGCTGCAATGAACATATGGACACGTCTTTTCGAATTAGTTTTGGGTCTTTGGATAAATACCCAGAAATGGAATTGCCGGGTCCTTCTTTGTCTCCTGTTATAGCCTTTGTTTTAAAGTCTGTTTTGTCTTATATAAGAATTGCTACCCTAGTTTTTTTTTTCTATTTGCATGAAATATCTTTTTCCATCTCTTCACTTTTAGTCTGTGTCTTTCATTCTGAGGTAAGCCTTTAGTAGACAATATATATATGAGTCTTGTTTTCTTATCTGTTTAGCTACCCTATGTCTTTTGATTGGATCATTTAATTCATTTACATTTAAAGTGATTTTTTTATCCTTACCCAAGGGCATTTTCCCATTTTTTGTTCAGAGAGAGTGGGAGAGGGAGAGAGAGAGAAACACATGAAAGGGGCACATCGAGTGGCTAGCACGACCCAACCAGGGCCAGGGACAAACTGCAACCAAGGTACATGCCCTTAGTGGGAACTGAACCTGGGTCTCTCTGGACCGCAGGCCGACGCTCTAACCTCTGAGCCAAACCGGCCAGGGCTAAAGTGATTATTGATAGGTATGTATTGTTATTTCATTATACACATTTATGTTAGTCTTTTTTTGTTTCTTGTTTTTAAAGAAGTCCCTCTCATATTTCTTACAATACTGGTTCAGTGGTGATGAACTCCTTTAGCTTTTTCTTGTCTGGGGAACTCTTTATATGGCCATTGATTCTAAATGATAGCTTTGTAATATAATCTTGGTTGTAGGTCCTTGCTTTTCATCACCTTAAATGTTTCTTGCCACTCCCTTCTGGCCTGCAAAGTTGCTTTTGAGAAATCAGCTGACAGTCTTATGGGAGCTCCCTTGTAGCTTTTCTCTTGCAGCTTTTAAGATTCTCTCGTTGGCTTTAACCTTTGATATTTTATTTATTATGTGCCTTGGTGTGGGCCTCTTTGGGTTTATCTTGTTTGGGACTCTCTGTGCATGGACTTATATGTCTATTTTCTTCATCAGACTAGGGAAGTTTTCCATCATTTTTTTCAAAATGGTTTTCAATTCCTTGCTTTCTCTTCACATGATACAAATGTTGGTACACTTGCCTGGCTGGTGTGGCTCAGTAGTTGAGCTTCAACCCACACACCAATAGGTTGCCAGTTCGATTCCCGGTCAGGGCACTTGCCCAGGTTGTGGGCCCAATCTCCAGTGGGGGGCATGCAGGAGGCAACCACAGGATGTTCTCTCTCATCGATATTTCTCTCTCTCCCTCTTCCTTCCTCTCTCTCTAAAAATCAATAAAGAAAAAAAAATGTTGGTACACTTGTTATTGTACCAGGGATCCCTCTTTTTTATTTTTTTTTATTAAATCCTCACCCAACGATATTTTCTCCATTGACTTTCAGAGAATGGAAGGGGGGAGGAAGAGAAAGAGAGACATCAAATATAAGAGACACAATTGGTTGCTTCTTGCAATTTCCCAACTGGAGCAGAGATCAAACCTGCAACCCAGGTATGTGCCCTAAACTGGGAATTGAACCCATAACCCTTTGGTGTGCAGGCTAATGCTTTAATGACTGAGCCACACTAGCCAGGGGTATCTATCCTCATTTTGGATTCCTGTTGCTCTGATTGGGTGTTTACTGTTTCCTTATCTTCCAAATGGCTGATTCTCTACTGTACTCTCCTTGTAATGTATTCATTTCAGTTATTGTAGCCTTCATTTCTGTTTCTTTTTGTTGAAGTTCTACACTTCCCCTAAGTTCATTGAGCACTCTTATTACCTGTGTTTTGAACTTTGCATCTGTTAGATTGCTAGTCTCCATTTTGTGTAGTTCTATTTCTGGTGTTATTCTGTTCTTTCATTAGGGACATGTTTGTCTCATTTCATTGTCTCCCTTTGTTTGTTTCTATGTATTAGGTAGAGCTGCTGCTTCTCCCTGTCTTGGTGGAGTAGCCTTATTTAGTAGCAAAGTGGCATAGTCTCCTCTCACCTGTTGCAGTTGAGCCTTTATTGCTGTTCGAACATCAATGGGAGAGATTTATTCCCTCCACCCCAGGCTGACTGGTTGTGAAGACTGGCTGTAACCACAGTGGAAAATCTGTCATGCAGGGGCCAACCCTATGAGGATTCACTTCATTGGAACTCTGGTGCCTGAACAGTCTGTCCCTTGAGTGTGCTGCTCATGGAGGTGGTTGGGTTATCCTCTGGCTTGGCCTGAAGCTGTCCACTGGGTGCGCTGGCTCGGGGCCTCCCAGGAGGTACAGGTCAAGGTCAGCTGCTGCCTGTGCCCTGCCCAGGGTTACTCAGCATGAGCTACAGAGAGATCTGAATCTGCTACTTGTGCTGGGCTTTGAGGTTCCCAGGAGAGGCCAACCTTCAAATCAAAGCCAGCTGCACACCTGGGGGCACTTAAGATATAAGGGGCATGTGGAGGCCAGATGATGCTTGTTTGGCATTTGTGACCCTGACAGATTTTAGTAAAGACTGCAGCATGAGCCAAGACAATAGGTTTGTTTGGGAAATCCACTGAAACTGGCTTGGGTGGTCCTCTAAGTTGGGTTGGTTGGGGTCTCATGGAATCACAAAGATGGGGTGAACAGTGATAGTTAGGTTGATGGAGACTCTGATATGGTGCCCACCTGCTGGCTCAGCAAAGGAATAATGACTTATGCCAGCACTTCTGTCTGAGAGAAAGCTGCCCCTCCTCCAGCCCCTTCTGGACAGTTTAGTTACTCTCCACAAGTCCCTGATGCTTTTTGAGCTGCTGCCCCAGTACTGAAGCCCAGAGTGAGTGAGTCCAAGTAAATCTGTGCACCAGACCTTTAAGAGGAATGCCTGGTACTCTAGCAGCCCCCCACCCCATGTCACCCACAGCCCCCACTGGTTTTCACAGCCAGAGTAATGGTGACTTCTCTTCTTGGCACCGAATCCCTGGGCTGGGGAGCCTATGGGCTGAGACCCCTTGGTCCTTTGGGGGGACCTCCACAGCCAAGCTATCCCTCCTTTTTTTTTTCTTCTGGCCACTGAGGGACAGCTGTCACTGGCACAGTCCCAGAGCAAGAATGCAATCAAGGTTTTTTTTTTCATCACCAGCTACCAAATCCTAGCCCCACTGCCTGGGGGGAGGACCTGTGAAAAGTGCTAATCCATCAGGTTTTTATTTTATTTTTATTTATTTATTTATTTTTATCCTCACCCGAGGACATTTTTTCCATTTTTTGTTCAGGTAGAGTGGGAGGGAGAGAGAGGAAGAGAGAGAGAGAGAGAAACATTGATGCGAAAGGAACACACCGAGTGGCTGCCACCCACACACTGACCAGGGCCGGGGACAAACTGCGACCGAGGTACATGCCCTTAGCGTGAACCGAACCCGGGTCTCTCAGGACCGCAGGCCGACGCTCTAACCGCTGAGCCAAACCGGCCAGGGCTCCATCAGGTTTTTATAACTGCCACACGTGGGTATGGGACCAGTTTGTTCCACACCTCTGCCCCGTCTACCAGTCTTAACGTGGCCTTTTCTGTATATCCTTACTTATAGGACTTCTGTTCGGCCAGATTTCAGGTGGTTCTAAATGGAAATTGTTCTGAAGTTTAGTTTTAATTTTGATGTAGTTATGGGAGGATGCGAGTAATGCATTTACCTACTCTACCATCTTGACTGGAAGTTCCAAGTCAACATTTAAATTTTATATTAACCACCAATATGTTTCCTAACTGATCTGCTTTTCTTGTTCCCCTAAACTTTAATCTCCATATTGTGAGCGTTCTAAAACATAAATCAGTATCATTCCCCTGCTTAAAAGACTTCAGTACTTCCCACTGCACTTTGAATGTCAAAATCCAGATTCCTTTCTGAGGCCCTTGCCTCATTGTAGGTTTGTTCACACTTCCTTTTGTTTTGGGAAAGTAAAATTCTTTCCTGAGAGCCTTACACACTCTGTTCTGCCTGGGATGCTTTTCTCTTCACCTTTCAAATGTTTTACTCCTCAACCTTTAGCTCTGCTTAAGAGAATCTTCCCAAACATCCCATGTCCAAGGTTTTCCTGTCTTTCTCTCATCTGATTTGTAATTACACATTTGTGAGTTTACTTATTTTCTGTCTTTTCCATTAGTTTTACAACTCATGAGGGCTGTGATTATGTTTACTGTGCCTAGACAGTGTATGATACAAAGGAAGAACTCTGAACAAAATAGTGAACTAACAAGGAAGAAAGGCTGTGATGGAGACAGCTGTGACTAGCGGCTTCCCTGATAGAATCAGCTGCTTTCCCTCATCTAAGGCAATGCAGCATAAAATTGCAGTTTTCCACATATGCAGGATCTAGCAGTTTTGAACTGTAGTGGGAAGTCACCCCATGATCCCTCTGTGTACAGAGTACTCTGTGTCTAACATTGCTTAAAAAAAAAAAAAAAGTCAAGTAAAATAAGCAGCAATTAGCAGCAGCTTAACCTGGTCCAAGGAATACAGGCCTGAGAGTCCTGACTTAGCTTTGGCCTGTGGTCTTCTTTTGTTTTGTTGCCTTTGTTACTCAGACTTTGTATCTTTTAAGAGAGGCTGCAATAAAGAGATAAAAGTCCCAGTTTATATGAGTATGTGTTTAGCTGCAGGTAATAGTGGCTTAAGCAATGATGGCTCCCGGGTTGGTATGGTGGTTCAAAGACGTCATCATGGACCTAGGCTCTTCCCTTCTTTCTGCTCTGCCATTTGCTTTGTCTTCAGGCTTGTCCCTCTTGGTCACAAAATAAATACTGCAGCTTTAGGCATCACAGTCTCTCATGAGAGCATCAAAAGCAGAAAGGGATATGGGCATGAAGAACTCTCCTCCTAGATCTCTTATCAAGTTAACATCTTTCCTGGGAATATCCTAGCAGACTTTCTTTCTTTCTTTTTTTTTTGTATGTGCCCCTAGTGGGAACCGAAGCCGGTACTCTCTGGTCTGCAGGCCAGCGCTCCAACCACTAAGCCAATAGGCCAGGGCCTAGCAGACTTTCTTAACTGCCCTAAACTATCAACCACCAACCATTACTGACAAGAGGATTTGCTTACCCCAAGTATAATTCATTCCCCAGGCTGGCCTGTATTCAGCTGTACCAATTCAAGGTGAGTCCTGTGAACAAAGGAATAAGGCAGGGCTGTCGAGTAGGTTGTGGCGGGGATCTGAAGTCCTGTGATCCTAAGTGTTTGGCCTTTAGGAGGTTCCCTTGTTACCCTGCAGGGACTAATTACATTCTTTACATCTCAGGTGAGGCAATGGCCAAAATTAACATTTTTTTTTAAAGGAATGGCTTTACATTCCTGAATGAGGTGGGAAGCAGAAAGGGTTTGGAAACTGGTAGATTTATTGGCCAAGATTCAGTGAGCCACTAAGCCCAGCAAGTCTCCTGTAGTAAAGGTCCCATGACTAAGACGCCCACTGCTACTCTAATAGGGAGCAGAAGAGATTAAAGATAATTTCCTCTTCCAATTATGAGGTAAGATCCTCAGCAAACTATTAGTTCTCCTGCATGTCCAGGCCACAGCAACAGGTACTCTCAATAAGTAGAATCTTGTTTTATTTTTTATTTTTTTATCCTCACCCGAGGATATTTTTCCATTTTTTGTACAGATAGAGTGGGAGGGAGAGAGAGGAAGGGAGAGAGAGAGAGAGAGAGAAACATCGACGTGAAGGGACACATCGAGTGGCTGCCACCCGCACGACCAACCAGGGCCGGGGACAAACTACAACCGAAGTACGTGCCCTTAGCGGGAACCGAACCCGGGTCTCTCCGGACCGCAGGCCGACGCTCTAACCGCTGAGCCAAACTGGCCAGGGCAGTAGAATCTTGTTTTAAAGCTGTTTTATAACAAATCAGATAACAAGTAAGGACTGTATTCTTAATGGCCATGTTATTAAGAACACACTATGTGCCAAGCACTGTACTGGGTCCTGTGGATACCAGTATAAAGGTCCTAGTCCTTAAGAGGTTGACATTCTAGTTGAGAGGGAAACAAATGTAACAGATAAAACAAGCTCTATAACAGGTGCGTGTATGGGGCCACAACTGGGAGTGGCCACCACCACCTGAGAAGTGATCAGGAAAGGTGACCCTTGAAACAAGAACAGATGTTTTGTCCAATGTTGAACGCAGCCCAAGCCAGGAGGAGCCACTGATTAAAAATGACAGGCATTGGGTATGTGGGGCTGAAGCCTGGGGAGCTCTGTGGGTCATGCTGAAAAGTATGGGCTTTATCCTGCAGGCAAAGAAAATTGGACATTTTCATAGACAAATCTTAAGGTAATGTGTATCAAATTATTTCCAAATTTCCCTCCCAGAGGCTAAGGATTTTATTAGATTTTATTTCACTTATTCAATACATTACATTGAATACGTGTGTGTGTGTGTGTGTGTATATCTCCTCACCCGAGGACATTTTTGCATTTATCTTCAGATAGCGCGGGAGGGAGAGAGGGAGGAAGAGAGAGAGAGAGAGAAACATCGACTGGTTGCCACATACACAACCCCAACTGGAGCCAGGGACAAACTGCAACCGAGGTACGTGCCCTTAGCGGGAAATGAACTTGGGACTCTCTGGTCCGCGGGCTGACGCTCTAACCACTGAGCAAAACCAGCCAGGGCTACATTGAATACATATTATGGATCAATTATTAATAGCTAAATTTATAGGTCTGCTATAAACCACATATGGACTAGTTTATAGCAAAATGTCTAAATTGTATATTCTGATTTCTACTGATTTCAAGTAAGATTTAATGTTTTAAAATTACTTAAAAATTAATACTTGCTAAGATAGTTCCAATTTGTATCAGCTTTGCTGCTAGAAGAGACAGGGACTTTGCCAGACTCCTGTTCTCCAATAGCTTACTGAGGTATTCAGGGATGAGTCTTCCCATAGACCAAAGCAAACTTCTTGTGTATTTGTGGGAGACCAGAGCCACCAGGTAGTGCTGCCTGACTCCAGGAGCCAATCTTTACTCCTTCAGGCTTTTGTTCAAGTGTCACCTTATCATTGATGCTTCCCTTAACTGACCTCTTTCAAACTACTGTCCCTGCCAGGTCTGATCCTCCTTATTCTGTTTTTAAAATACTACACATATATCCCACCTAATTTAATAACTCACTTTGTTGTTTATTATCTGTCTCCCCCTACTAGAATGTAAGTCCCTTTGTGTGTTCTGTTCACTGTATTTCAACCACCTATAACAGTGCCTTATAAAAGATCTAGATTCAAAGTATCTAGGTAATTAGAAATACCCTTTAAGACTTCTACAGTTGTTCTCATTGACCATAATTCATCACTAAATAGGTGAGTTAATAATTCAAGGAAAGTCTTACTGAGCTTGTCAGAGTAAAGCTGTTCAGTCCTGTTTGTATGTCTTTAGTGTTGAGAGTAAAAGGTGGTACCTTTTGAGTGTGAACCTTACAGGCTGTTAGGAATAAAGGCCATGAAATAATAGCAGAGGTGAGATCCTGAACTCTGGTTGCAGAGAACTGTAAATTGATTAATAACAGATGACATTCTTTTGAACAGATACAAGAGTTTGGTCACTGGGACTCGAGCACGAAGAGTCATTGCTGTTCTCTGGGTGCTTGCCTTTGGCATTGGACTGACCCCTTTCCTGGGGTGGAACAGTAAAGACAGTGTCACCAACTGCACAGAGCCCTGGGATGGAACCATGAATGAAAGCTGCTGCCCTGTGAAGTGTCTCTTTGAGAATGTGGTCCCCATGAGCTATATGGTATATTTCAATTTCTTTGGGTGTGTCCTGCCCCCACTGCTCATAATGCTGGTGATCTACATCAAGATCTTCAGGGTGGCCTGCAGGCAGCTTCAGCGCACCGAGCTGATGGACCACTCGAGGACCATCCTCCAGCGGGAGCTCCACGCCGCCAAGTCCTTGGCTATGATCGTTGGGATTTTTGCTGTGTGCTGGCTGCCAGTGCATGCTATCAACTGTGTTACTCTTTTTCAGCCAGCTCAGGCCAAGGAAAAGCCCAAATGGGCAATGAATATGGCTATTCTCCTATCACATGCCAACTCAGTTGTCAATCCCATTGTCTATGCCTACAGGAACCAAGACTTCCGCTATACTTTTCACAAAATCATCTCCAGGTATGTTCTCTGCCAGTCAGATGTCTTCAAGAGTGGAAATGGACAGGCGGGGACACAGCCTGCTCTTGATGTGGGCCTATGACCTACGCTCTATCCTTTTTAAGAAGGCATAAATTCACAATAAACAAAGGGACAAGACATGATTGACTGATTCTCATGTGAAAGACAGTTATGCCTCACAAGCATATGGGTTGCCTCTTTCGAACATCTCCCTGGAGTTACCATGTACCTCACTAATATGTTCATGTTATTAGTAGGTTCCAAGGGTTGACAAATACATATGGTCCTGTCTGACTGTTCTTATTGTGTGGATGATGTCAACAGCTTGAATGGATTGTAAAAGAATGTTTTGTTTTTTTAAAGTCTGCCTCTTTCATGGTAGAAAATGAACGAAACCATTTTACTGTGAAACACTGTGAACTCTTATAATACACATATTTTTTAAACTTAGAGAGGCAGTGGAAAAATAAAAGTTGGACATACTAAAAATACATACTTATTTCTAGGAAGGAGACTAGGAAAATTAAAAGCATAATTCTTTGACCAAGAAATGACTATATTAATTTAGGGAAATGATACTCTCATCAGATAACAATTTTGATAACATTCTTTTCCATATACAGCAAATTACCCTAGAGAAAGAAACTAGAGAAATGGGATCCTTCTTCTACCAGATTCCGGCTCCCTTCCCAGAGCTAGTAGTGAATTTTACTTCTCTCCCAACCTCCCAGCTTTGTCAACTTGCTAGATCTCAAAGTGTGACATTTTTATTAAGTAAAATTATACAACTGTGTATGAATATTAAGTGAAATAAAAATAAAACTTAAAAAAATCAAGCTTAGGCCCTGGCTGGTTTGGCTCAGCGGTTACAGTATTGGCCTACAGACTGAAGGTTCAGGATAGTGCAGGAGGCAACCAATCTGTGTCTCTCTCTCTCATCGATGTTTCTCTCTCTCTCTGTCTCTTCCTCCCTCCTTTCCACTCTCCTTGAAAATCAATGGAAAAATATCCCCGGGTGAAGATTAACAACAACAGAATATCAAGCTTAGGTTGCTTCATTGGTTTGTCATACAGAGCTGCATGTACCTTCTATTCTTTATCCTAAAGACTGCTTAAAAAAGTAAGTTTACACCAGCCCAAGTTTTCCAAGTAGCAAAAAGTCTTGAGTTTATTTCCACACCTCATTGTGACAAGAGATTCTGCCAGCCACAAACACTGCAACACTGTTGTCTTCTCACACAGCATTCATTCACTAGCACCTCATGTTTTGGGGGCACAGGGTGAGGGGTTTCCTAGGCGGTAAAATCATCTTTTTCATCTGTCTGTTTATTGCTTCAGTTGCTTCTGCAATATCCCTGCAAAAACAATTCAGGTTTACAAACTCCTGTCCTTCTCGGATCCCATTTCGGCTGCAGACAGACGGCTTTACCTATTAAGGGCTTATCCTGTGCTAAAATTGGTCTCAGTGTCATCTATCATAACTTCTCTGCATTCTCCTGGGGTCCAAACAAGTCCCATTTTCTCCCTTCTAACAGTCCTCTTGATATTTCTTTTGCCTTTTCTTCTTCAGACTATAGTATCTTTAGCTTCCTTCAGGACATAAGTTTTAGTCCCTTCCTTCATCTGGTTTGTTAAAAAAGCTCAAAAATGTCCCCTCATAGCAAAACCAGCACTTCCGTTGGTCTAGATACTACCATTCTAACAATGCAGCCTACTGAAACTATTTTGGCACCAACACCACAGGTATCTGAAGCTCTCAGAAACCAGAACCCCAGTGAGACTTTTTATACTTGCTGCTGTTTGGCCACATCTCTGTTCTGATCTTTCATTGCTGCAGAATAATTTTCTGAATCCAAGGTAAAGAACTAACACTTATTCATCTAAACATCATCCTACTCAGTTTTGTCTACCATTTCAACCTCTTAAAAATTGTGGACAAGATATGATATTGGGCTTTGACTCTAAAATGCTTGATTCCAGCTAGGAAATTTTTTACCTATGGGCTCAGAGGCTGGTTCAGATTTTCATGAGACTTGTACAGGGCTTCAAACCATACCCACATCCTGGGTTCCAACCCACAGTGCCTTCTACAGTCCAGAAGAAAACAGGGACAGTAAAAAGAAGTTTCTAGATCTATTTCACCTCTCTTCCCTGTGAACCAAGACAGGTTAAATGCATTTCTTGCTGGGACTTCTATTTTGAAAGACAGTGGTTCAGTCTGTACCTTTTACGCTTCTTGTTTCTTCTCCATCAATAACATATCAGTCAATTGCTTATCTGAGACACTTAGCTGCTGACAGGTCCTTGTGACCTGACTAAGATAAACTGCCAAGAGATGCTTGCACTGGAATACAAAACACACAAACTCATTAGAAATTGGCAGGGCTAGGCTAACCAAGACCTCTCACTACCATTAAATTTAGCAGAAGAGGGTGGGGCACACAGATTATGGGCCTTTAACTCACTGCTTAAAAACTGCAGATAAAGATAAGACAAATGTATTATTTCTAGAGGGCACAAAGGAAGTTTTATTACTTGATCTGGTGTTTTGGGAAACAGGCTGGCACAGGGCTGGTACATATCTAAGACAGGCTCCTCATTTTAGTCCTAAGTTACATTTCTTTCTTTCTTACTTTCAGAAAGCTGTCAATAGCAATGGGGAACATTCTTGAGGTACTGTGTTGCTAGGTGCTTCATATTATCTCATTTAAGTCTGACAGCTACCCCCTGAGAATAGCTCTTATCCCCATTTTAATCATGTGCTCAGAATCTACAGTCTACTCCTTTAACCACCACATTATACTTCTGGGGAATGAGGTGGGGAGGAAGGATGAACGCAGGGTGGCAGAATCCTCACATATACTGGCCTATAAACACCTCTGGGGAGATGATCTATGTTGGGCCTTATGTCACAGGACACCCAGCTTTAGATATTGAAGGGGGCCTGGTTTAATCGTGCTACTTTACAGGTGAAATAAACCTATGGCACATCAGCTATGAATGTGGCCTCTCATACAATTTGCCACCTAGTACCCAAGATGTGCCCGTTAAACATAATGAGGTTTAAGAGTATAAAATAAAGGGGAAGAATGGAATGGATGCTATATTTTCTTCTTTAGTAAGACTTAAAAAATAGCTACCTACTCTCAGGTGGGTAGTACTTTCTCCATGGAATAAAGATTGTATGAATATGTCTTTTTCCTCACTTAAGGCTCTGGACTCCTGTGAAATGGGCAAAGGCATCAATGTGCTCTCCTGCCTTATGTGAAAGTCAAGATGGCTAAGTGCCAGGCTGTCTTATGGGTAGTGGCAAGAAGCCACATGACTGGAGTGGGGATATGCAAAGTTGCCAACATCCAATTTAGTTCATATTACTTACTATTGGGTTACCTAATTCCCCAGTGCCAACTTTTCAGTGCCAATCCTTTCAGAATTATCTTGTCCTACCCAAAGCTTCGTCCATGACCTTTTAAATAAAAAAGTAGGGTTGATAGATTTCTAAAAATGACACAGCATTTTTGGAGGTTAAACCCAAAAGAGATGACTAATTAAAGTCTAAGACAATAAACAACTATTTGTTTCAACATGTAGTAAAATTCCCAGTTTGTACAACTCTTAAACCATAAAGTAAACGCTAACAATTTCTTTCCTAATTCAACTGCTTTGGGAAGAGACTTCACCATCCTCACCAGTAGGCTGTCATTCTTCCGTAGCACAGAGAAGGCAAATGCAGGACATGAACAGTAATGACAAGAAGCCAAACATGTGTATGTTTTACCAGAACTTCCAAGTACCTAGAAAGAAAAGGACAGATGGGATCAAACTTCAAAAGGTGTGCTGGAAAATTGCTTCCTTCCCTTCAATTTATTTCATGACTCAGAGTTACTCTGCAAATTGCTCTGGGAAGAACTCCAATAACAGTTTGTAAAAAAGTGGAAACTCAACTTTCCTGTGTGTAGACTCTTCCTTCCTTCTCAGTGCTTTGCCCTTGAGGACGTCACACAACGAAATTGAAGAGTTTCAGCTAGTTAAACCATCCACACAAACCATTTTGTTCCTCTGCCTAGTGGTTCAGAGGGCCGACTCTGTAGGATGATTATAAAGAGGAGGAGGGAGGGCACGCTCCATCATCTACACTTTATTATGGTGTTTCTTACTTAACCTTTGGTATTTCACAGCATGTATGCAAATTTCTAAAGCTTCCACCACACACCTTAAGACAGTATAAAAACAGGTAAAGGGTAAGCAGTGAGACAGAAAGGTTTTAAGGAAGTGAAAAAATGCTTTTGAAAAGCATTTCAGAGCAGGGAGAATAAAGAAAGCTCTTTGCGCCTTGGCTGGTTTGGCTCAGTGGTAGAGCATTGGCCCACAGACCAATGAGTCCCAGGTTCAATTCCAGTCAAGGGCATGTACCTTGGTTGCTGTTTGTCCAGGCCCTGGTCGGGGTCATGTGGGAGGCAACCAGTTGATGTGTCCAATGTTTCTCTCAACCACTCCCTCCCACTCTATCTGCATATAAATAGAAAGATAAATAAATAAATAGAGCTCTTTGCAAAAGGGATGACTAGGCTGCTCAGGATGGAGGTCTCCAAGAGCCAAGCCTGGATCTGCCTATTCATCTAGCAGGATGGAAGGAAAACACAGATATGTGAGGGGTGGGAAGAGGCTCAGTCCAAGACAAACAGCCTTGCTGGCTAACAAGGGACAAAAAAGGAGACGTGTAAGGAAAATAGGATGCATCTGTGACAAACTTATTGGAGAAGCCACTTGTTTAAGTCTATCACAAAATAGCCCAAAACAAAAATATTGAAAGCTTCATTCTTACAGTTACTTCCAAACGGGAAAGTGTAAAATTAGCACCAAAGGGACGTAGAAACATCCTGATGGTTATTTTACAATGAACTGCCACTTAGGAATCTGTCACAGGGTCTTCAAATTAGTTTTAGGCTCAAGATGGCATCTAAATGAAAAGGCCAGGACTTTTTTTTATTTTGAAAAATAATGCCAGCCATCCCAGGATTTTCTCTTTCTCCACCACAAAAATTAAAGCGAAAGGTAAGGCTTCAACCGAAGAGTAGAAGTGTTCAAGTGGCTGTGCTGTCTATGAAATGTCTAGTGATTCACAGTGTGGCCATGTCACTGTGTTTTTTTGACCAGCTCAGTAGAATTCCTCAGGGGTTGCTAGATTTACCGGAAATGGCCAGTGACTGGGTAAGAAGATACCTACTATGCCCGTTAAAAATTTCAGCCTCAGTTACAAATTAGGTATCAAAAAAAATCACATCTTACATAATTTCCAATCTTGAGACACTGACATATTTTAAACATACCACCTACACCACTGAGTATCAGTGGAGGAATTTCCCTAGTGTGTCTTGGAAAACTTCAACTTATGGCAGAGCATTAAAGTAGACTGTTTTCCATTTAATTCTGGAAGAAAACCCATCAACATCCAGCAGTGACATGAATAATTCTTGGGTCTCCAAAGTATTACCAATGAATAAAACTTTAGATTTCTTCAGCCTTCAGTTATCTCCTGTTACCTCTTCTCTCTAGATATAAAGTGAAGCAGGCATATACCCCTGGAATTCCACATGGCTTGACTGGTCTACTAGTTCCTTCTTAGTGTGGGTCCCAAACTATCAGAATACTCTCTGGATTATGCTGAATAAATTCTATAGAGTTTCCCTTGCCTGATCCCCTCAAAGGCTGGCTAAGACTAAAAATACAATGTTTAACCACCTAAGGCAGTAAATATCATAAAGAAATAGCAAATTCTGAATCTGCTCCCTCATCTAGCAATGAACAACTAATGAACCCGATAATCAGGCAAAAATCTTACTTAGAAATGTTTAGAACTGGTAATTGACCTTAGGAATCATCTAGTGTAATTCCTTTACCCTTCAATGGAAACATGACCTCTCACAGGAATTGCTCCCAGTTGTGCTTAGTCTGGAACGTTCATCCTGAGAAGGAGAGAGCTTTTAAAAAGAAAAACATGCAGAGAAGAGGATATGCAGACCTGTGACTGGACTTGCATGAACGTCACGTGGAGGAAGTCTGCTATGGCTTCACTGAGGTTCTGAGGAGGGTGACTCACCTTAGATGGCCATCCACTCACAAGTTCAGTTTTATGACTGCTCCAAGCCTCTTAGGACCCATCACAGTGGTAAACTGTATTATTTATTGTTCTCTGTGTTCGGTGCCTCTCTCTCTGAAAGAGGATTATAAATACTTGTGCTATGTGACCTGCTTTAGCCAGTAAATTGTGAGTAGCTGAGCAGAAACATTAAAAATTGGTGTATACCATGTCCTCTTTTCTCTCTGCTATGAGATCCACGGTGGTCTAGATAGGGTGGGGCTTCTCTACCAAATGGGATCCCTGAGGAAAGGTGTTTTAGAGCAGAGCTGCAATTGACTCTTAATGGATATGTAGCATGAATGACATATAAAACTTTTTTTTGTAAGTTGAAATTTTGGGGTCATTGATACCACAGCATAACTTAGCCTCTCCTAACTGATGCGTCCCCCCACCCCCCTTCCTAGGTGAACCAAAAAAGTTTATAAAAAAGCAACTTAGGTGACAACAACTTAACATGACTTTAGCATAATTACCATTATACCTGGAGGACAGTTAGAATATTTGAAAGTTGACCTGTGGAAAGATAACTAGCAGGGTATAAAGGCAATGTCTGACTCAACTTTTATCATCTCAAAGAACCATTGAATTACACCTAATTCTTACTAAATTACAGCACAGTGAAATCACTAAGGTTAATTTGAGGGTGCATATAAGATTCAAAGTCCAAACTGACAGCCATAATTCTAGAAGGTTAGCACTTTTATGATGAATAAAGCAATGTAATATAATACAGGATGTGAATGATGAAAATTAAACAAGTCATGGTCATCTTGGGAGGAACAAAAAGTCAATAATAATTGAAATATGTCAAATACAATCTTTAAGACTTTAACTAATAACCAGATCACAGAACTAGAGGACACTTAGAAGTCTGCTTGGGCAGGTCAAGTGTTACTCTGATACTGGAACTGAGACATAAAAATCTGAAACTAAAAGACATAGGAAAAACTCAAATGTCCTTCTCATTTAGGGTCTTTTAGCTATACAAAAAAAAAAACCCCCAAAACACAAGGAAATGAAAATACCCCCTAACATTATTTAATAGCACTGATTATTAATCTAATAATTAGAAAATTCTAATTGGCAGCCTCTTTTAAGTAAACACAATCCAAAAGTTTCAACTGCAGCATTCAACACTAATTACCCCATTTTCTTTGAAGAAGAAATGCATGAAGATTTTGCCACGTTGGCTATATTATGCTACAATGTGGAATGGTAAGTTAATTCACTAAGCAACGGAACCTATTGGCCCCAGCAGGCTTTGCTCAAGTCATTTACTCACTAAGAATTCATTGACATGGTCTCAGCTCTCAGAAGTTCACTGTAAGTAAACCAGAATCCAAACACCAAAATATTCCCCCCTTCCTGGTCTTCAGAGCAAGGCCTGAATTACAGTTATAAGAGCTGATGGCAGACTTCTGGTCAAAATGGCAGCGTAGGTAATCACGGTGCTCGCCTCCTGCCACAACCACATCACAATTACAACTAAACTACAGAACAACCATCATTCAGAACTGCCTGACATCAAGCAGAATGAAAATCCTACAACCACAAAATTAAAGAAGCCACATTGAGACTGGTAGGAGGGGCAGAGGTGCAGTTGGGCTGGTCCCACATCCATGTGTGGCGGATAAAAATCAGGAGTACACCTCAGCTGGGAAGGTCCTCCCTGAGGAGCAAGGAGTCCCCATCCCACACCAGGCTCCCAGCTCAGGGTTCCAGTGCCAGGAAGATAATCCCCATTACTTGTCTGTAAAAACCAGCGGGAACAGAGGCTGAGGGAAGCTGAGGTTGCTGGAGTCCTAGACAGCTTCCTTTTTTTTTTTTTTTATCCTCACCTGAGGATATTTTTCCACTCTTTGTTCAGATAGTGGGAGGGAGAGAGAGAAAGAGAGAAACATCGACGTGAAAGGGACACATCGAGTGGTTGCCAACCACACAACCCAACCAGGGCCGGGGCCAAACTGCATCCGAGGTACATGCCCCTAGCGGGAACCGAACCCGGGTCTCTCTGGACCACAGGCCGAAGCTCTAACTGCTGAGCCAAACCGGCCAGGGTCAGACAGCTCCTCTTATAAAAAAAACTTTTTTTCTTGATTTTTAGAGAGAAAGGAAGGGAGAGGAGAGAGAGAAACATCAATGAGAGAGAAGATTGGCCGCCTCCTGCAAGTCCCCAACTGGGGATTGGGCCCACAACCTGGGCATGTGCCCTGACCGGGAATCGAACTGGTGACCTCTTGGTGCATGGATCGACACTCAGCCACTGAGCCACATTGGCTAGGCCACACAGCTCCTTTTAAAGGGGCCGCACACAGAATTACTAGGACTCGCTTCTTCTGGGCTCCAGCATTAGGGAGGCAGATGGAAAGGCACCAGAGATATACGGGGAAGGACTTGAATTATTCGGCACTGGAGGGAGATCTGAAGGGGCAGCTTTCTCCTGGACAGACGTGCTGGCGGAGGCTGTTGTTCCTCTGATGAGCCCTTCCCTGGGGCGGCAGATGGCGGCCATATCTGGGACTCCAGCAACCTGGCTCACACTTTGTGCCCCGCCCTGGTAATTCCTTGACATCCTGCCCCACCCAACCTTCGGGCCCACCCACAGTTTCCAGTGGCTTTACCACAGGATTGGCCTGTCTTAGATCCTGCTTCAGATTTTCCTAAAATCTCTCAAACAAGCAGCACCTGGTCTCAGCGAGCCCCACACCTCTCGTTAAGTGGCCTCAGGCCTAGCACTAGAAGCAGCCAGCCTTGGTGAACAACTTGGCTTTGCCTGGTCACCTCCAGCCCAGCACAAGAAGCAGCTGTCTGCAGTTCACTTTGTAGCTTATGATGGGTGGCCACGGGTAGAACACAGGCAGAGGCTGATCTTGTCCCAGAGCCAGCAAACCCAGTGGACAGCTTCAGACCACATTGAAGCACCACCACCCAACCACCTCCACAAGTGACACACTCAATGAGTTGACTCAGTGGGTACCAGAGCGCTGCTGAAGTAAGTCTTGCTCTGTGTGGTTGGCCCCTACACTGCTGATCCTTGCAGCTGATCAGCCTGAGTAAATCCCTCCCATTGATGTGCCAATAGCAATCAAGACTCAATTACAACAGAAGGGTGTACAGTCCACATTAGGGGTGCACCTCAAGGGCCCAACTGGGGTGATCAGGAAGGCTGTGCCATTGGAGCCTACAAGACAACTACAATAGGCCACCCTACAAAGCCTAGGAGAAATAGCAACTCTATCTAGTACATAGAAACAATCACAGGGAAGCAGCCAAAATGAGGAGAGAAAGAAACATGTCCCAAGTGAAAGAACAGAACAAAATTCCAGGAAAAGAACTAAACAAAATGGAGATAAGCAATCAATCAGATGCAGAGTTCAAAACACTGGTTATAAGGATGCTCAAGGAACTTAGCGAGACTTTAAAGGAACTTAAAGAGAACTCCAAGGAACTTAGTGAGAACATCGACAACATAAAAAAAAGGGCCAATCAGAAATGAAGAATGCACTAACTGAAATAAAAAAATAATTTACAGGGAATCAATAGTAGAGTAGGTAAAGCCAAGAAGCCAACCATCTAATTGGAATATAAGAGCAAAAAACACCCAACCGGAACAGCAAAAAGAGAAAAGAGGACAGTGTTAAGTAGCGTCTGAGACAACTTCAAGTGTAGCAACATTTGCATCATAGGGGTGCCAGAAGGAGAAGAGAGCGCAAAAAATTGAAAACCTATTTGAAAAAATAATGATGGAAAACTTCCCTAACTTGGTGAAGGAAACAGACATACAAGTCCAGGAAGCACAGAGAGTTCCAAACAAGATGAACCCGAAGAGGTCCACATCAAGATACATTATCATCAAAATTCCAAATGTTAAAGACAAAGAGAATCTTTAAAGCAGCAAGAGAGCCCTGGCCAATGTGGCTCAATGGTTAAGAGTGTTGGTGCTTGGAGTGAAGGGTGGTGGATTCGATTCCTGGTCAAGTGCACATACCTGGGTTGCAGGTTTGATCCCTGGCCCTGGTCGAGGTCATGTGGGAGGCTACCAATCAAAGTATCTCTCTCACATCAATGTTTCTCTCTCTCTCCTCCTTCCTCCCTTCCGCTCTCTTAAAAAGCAATGAAAAAATGCCCTTGGGTGAGGATTAACAAAAAACAAAAACAAAACTAAAAAAGCATCAAGAGAAAGCAGTTAGTTACCTACAAAGGAGCTTCCATAAGACTGTCAGCCAATTTCTCAAAAGAAACTTTGCAGGCCAGAAAGGAGTGGCAAGAAATATTCCAAGTGATGAAAAGCAACAACTTATGACCAAAATTACTCTATCCTGCAAAACTATCATTTAGAATCAATGGACAAATCAAGAATTTCCCAGACAAGAAAAAGCTAGAAGTATACCACCAAACCAGTATTATATGAAATGTTGAAGGGTCTTCTTGAAGGAGGAGAATAACAAAAATATGAACAATAAAATGGCAATAAAAACATATCTATCAACAACTGAATCTACAAACAAAATGAGCAAGCAGAACAGAAACAGACTCATAGATACAGAGAACTTTTTGTTGCTTCCCAAATGGGAGGGAGTTGGGGGGAATGGGTGAAAACGATGAAGAAATTAAAAAGTACAAATTGGTTGTTAGATTGACGAACCTCCAAGGGAAGGCAGGAAGAGATAAACCAAAGAACTTTTATGCATATATGCATAACCAATGGACACAAAAGTGTGGGTAAGGCAGGAAGAGGGCAGAATTGGGGAGGAGGGGGTCAATGGGGGGACATCTGTAATATATTCAATAAAGATAAGTTGTTGTTTTTTTTAAAAAAAGAGCTGACGGCTTCTTTTTAATCCCTTCCAAGCCAGATACAAAACACTGGAGACCACTGCCAATATTTTTATTTCATTCACAATATTCCCTTCCCTCAATCCCAGCTGCACTTACCATTATATCACATAGCTAAATTGGAGGGTTGGTTGGAGTCTGGCCCACTGTTTATATAAAATCAGGCAGTGTGTGATAGCAGTTACAAATCCCAGCTGCCAGCTATAACTATTAGTTTACTTTTCTGCATCTTAGTTTCCTGAAAAATACATTGCTGGGCTTTTGGTGAGAATTATCAATAACATACAAAGGTAATTCAGAGCCTGATAAGAGTCTGTTACTTTACAAATCTATCTGTGTTAAAGTCTGAAGGGCAAAACTAAGGTCTAAGTAGAGTTTCTGAATTCAGCACAGTTTGACCCTTAATAAACATTTTCTGACAAGTTTTAAAATGTAATTTCTGATAAATTTGAGCATATGAAAAGACCTCAAAATGCATTTGGGATTTCGCTTGTAAGCAAGAGATAATGAACAAGGTGAAGATGTTAATACATTTTTGGGGGAGTGAGGCAAATGTACCTCTACTGTCAAACAATGAGAAACCAAAAGTCAACTATACTCTATTAGAATGATCTGAGAAAAGAGCTCCTCCACATCATTGCTGGTTCTATACTCTGCTACTATGTAGGGTTAATAGGTCATATTTATCTTACTTTAATTGCTAAAGCACTCATTTTATGTACTAAGTTGGGTCAAATGCTTTTCAACAGTGAAGGAAATACTTAAAACTGGTCACCAGCTTCCATAGAGAGTCTTGAAAACATTTTGTCTTAAGGGGTTTCTGCTGAGATAATCCCCACCTCCAGATTTCTACCTGGTAAACATGCCTCCCACTGGGTGATGAGATTAAAGTGATGGACTGTCGATCAACTAGGTCCAAGGCTTGGAGGGCTGATGAACCAAAGACAAACTTCAGGCTGGGAAACAGAAAGGTTTCAGGTTAGATTCCCTGACTCGAAAACTCACCTCAGTAGCTTGACCCAAAGGATTACTAGCAGTATTTAAAAAATAATTCAGTTAGGGAAAAAAAGATAACATAGCAGAATCCTATGTAATCAATCTCCCAGAATAAATGTTCACGTTATTTACAAATGAAGAAGCCTTCTTTATGCCTCTAGTGCTTTCTATTCTTTTTCCCAACTTCCCTTTATTCCTGAGACAACAATAAGCATTTGTTGGTTTCCTTCCTGTTATTGTTTTTGTATTCTATTATATATCGTATCTGATTGTATGCATATTTACACCCACATATATACACATACACACACTGTACATATGGTATTGTTTCATAAGTTAAAACAAAAGGTATATTGCAGGGTTTGGGGCAACCTTCTTCCTACTCAGCATGTTTTTGAAAATGATGCATGCTGATATATATTTTAAAAATCACCTTTTGAATAATATTCCATTGTACATATAAAAGTATAATGCACATACTACTATTATTTTTAAAATATCCTGTTGACAGGCATTCTGATTGATTCCATTTTACACTATTATAAATAATACTCAATTATCCCTGTGCCTGTCCCTTGGTGCACATACATGAGAATTCTTCCTGAGTATATAAATAAAAGCAAATTGCTGGGTCTTAGGATTTGCGCATTTTTCAATTTTAACAGATGTTGCCAGTAGCTTTCCACAGTGGAACTAGCACTCACAACAGCACTGTATGAGAGTTCTATTTTCTCCACATCTTCACCAACACCATATTAGACTTTTTCATGTGTGACCCTCTGATGGGTGTTAAATTTGTACTTTTTCATTAGTAATAAAGGCCCTTTAACTGTTAATATTATATTAGAAAAAAATTATGTGGGAAAATTCTTATAAGTTAGGTAAGAAAGGTTAGACACAAAATTGTCTATTTAGAAACTCTCAATCATGTTCATTTTTCTTTAAAAAACTATAATTATCTCAAAATAAAACTTTTTTTAAAAACAGAAGGCAATAAGCCAATATGTAGTAGTGATTATCAGTGAGTGGTATGATTGTTGTTTTTTATGTTTTCCAATTTTTTTTTGTTACAGATATTTTACCTTTTTTACCCCATTGGCACCCCCCTCCCTACCCCACCCCCACCCCGTCCCCGGCTTAGTTGTCCATGTCCATTGGTCATGCATACATGCATATAAGTTCTATGATTTATCTCTTCCCACCCCACCCCACCCTCTTCTGAGGGATGTCAGTCTGTGCTCTACTTCCATGTTTCTGGGTCTACTGTATTCCTCACTGTTATGGTCATTATATTCCGTATATAAGTGAGATCATGTGGTATTTGTCTTTTTCTGCTTGGCTTACTTCACTTAGGATAATACTTTCCAGGTCCCTCCATGTCGTCTCAAAGGATAAGAGATCTTTCTTTCTTACCGCTGCATAGTACTCCATTGTGTATATGTACCATAGCTTTTTTATCCATTCGTCTACTGATGGACACTTGGGCTGTTTCCAGATCTTAGCTATTGTAAATAGTGCTGCTATGAACATGGGGGTACATATATTCTTCCTGATTGGTGTTTCAGGTTTCTTAGGGTATATTCCTAGAAGTGGGATCACTGGGTCAAATGGAAGTTCAATTTTTAATTTTTTGAGGTAACACCATCTTGTTTTCCACAGCGGCTGCACCAGTCTGCATTCCCACCAGCAGTGTATTAGAGTCCCCTTTTCTCCACATCCTCGCCAACACTTGTTGTTTGATGATTTGTTGATGGTGGCCATTCTGACAGGTGTGAGGTGATACCTCATTGTTGTTTTAATTTGCATCTCTCTGATGATTAGTGATGTTGAGCATTTCTTCATATGTCTCTTGGCCATTTGTATGTCCTGTTTGGAGAGGTGTCTATTTAGTTCCTCTGCCCATTTTTTAATTGGGTTCTTTGTCTTCCTTTTGTGGAGTTGTATGAGCACTCTATATATATTGGAAATTAACCCCTTATCTGATGTATCATTGGCAATGATGTTCTCCCATACAGTGGGTTGCCTTTCCATTTTGATGATTGTTTCTTTTGCTGTGCAGAAGCTTTTTAGTTTGATGTAGTCCCATGTGTTCATTTTTTACTTTGTTTCTGTTGCCTTAGGTGATGTATCAGGGAAAATTCTGCTCCGTATGATGTCCGAAATTTTGTTGCCTACATTTTCTTCTAGAATTTTTATGGATTCACGGGTCACATTTAAGTCTTTTATCCATTTTGAGTTTATTTTTGCCAATAACATTTTTTTTTAACGAGTATGGATTATTTTTATAAACTGGAAAATAAAATGGTTGGGTTGAACTAAAACTGAAAAGTTAATGTTTTAAAGAACCCATATGATTTGACACAGATTAAAACAGAACTACAAAGACTTCCAAATTAAAATGTTAAACTTCTTTTTCCAACAAACTAGTCTCTTTATTCAATAAACTACTGGAATGGGAAGAGATTTTCAATTTTTTACATTAAACCTATGGAGATTATGAACAAGGAAAACAAGTTGGTGATAACTTTATCAGAGATAATCACAGTTAACTTTAAAAATGAATCCAATAAAAAAATTTTGACCTGCCTTGTCCTTGTAACATATTGTAAACATCTCTTGAAAGAAATATTTTTCTGTATCACTTTTAAGTTACAACGAATTCCACTGTAAAGATGAATTATAAATTAGATAAGAGTTTATTTTTCCCAAACTCTATTTTTGGATAATTAGTTTATTAAATCTAATCTGAATTAGATTGTTTCTAGGTTTGTTTTTGCTACCATAAATAATATGGAGGAATGCGTTTATTGCAAAATCTTTATGAACATCCTTAATTACTTCCTTGGGATACATTCTTATAAGTGGAATTCTGGATCTAAGAGTATATATATATTTTTTCAATCCTCACCCGAGGACATTCCCCCGCCCCCCCATTTGTCTTCAGAGGGGGGGGGGGCGCGAGAAAGATCGATGTGAGAGGAACACATCGACTGGTTGCCTCCCGCAAGACCCCAACCAGGGTAGGGGACAAACCGCAACAGAGATACATGCCCTTGACCAAAATCAAACCTGCAATTCATTGGTCCTTGGGCTGACACTCTAACCGCCAAGCCAAACTGGCCAGGATGAATATGTATGTTTTAAAGCTGCTATTGCTTGTTGCCAGATTACCTTCCAATTTACACTCCTATTAGTAGGGTATCAGTTATCCTTTTCTCCATGTTCTTGACTACACCTGGAACATTCTTACCAACATTTTTTTCCGTGGTAGCCAGTTTTATAGATGGGAAGTTATCTCATTATTTTAATTTATATTTTTATAACCACTAGTAAGATTTACCTTTTTTCCCCATAGTTTTGGGTAATTTGCATTCTTTTATTATTTGCCTATTTGTTTTAAAAGTAGTAATTTTTTTTCTAATGTATTATAATGCATTTTTCTAATGAATTAGAAAATACATGGAGATTATCTATGGATAATTCTGCATCAAATCATATGGGTTCTTTAAAACATAATTTTTATAAAAATAATTTACGAAATAGACAAAAGGTTAAAGCCCTTCTCAAATTCTACCTCCTTAAATCCCCCTAGGATAATTATTAGTACAGGTTGGTGTATATTCTTATGGACTTTTATCTTATTTTAAAGATCTTTTTATTTTTAGAGAGAGATGAAGGGGTAGGGTTTTGAAACACTGATGTGAGAGGGAAATATCTATGGGCTGCCTTCTGCACGCCCCCTACTAGGGATCAACCCTGCAACCCAGGCATGTGCCCTAACTAGGAATTGAACCAGCAACTTTTTGGTGCATTGATACCCAACCAACTGAGCCACACTGGCCACGGCTCTTGTGGACTTTTACTTTATTTATTTATTTTTACTTATCCTCACCTGAAGACATCTTTGCATTTATTTTCAGATAGAGCGGGAGGGAGAGATGAAGGGAGAGAGAGAGAAACATCATGTGAGGGAGACACACTGAGTGGCTGCCACCCACATGACCCCAACCAGGGCCGAGGGAAAAACTACAACCGAGGAACATACCCCCAGAGGGAACCGAACCCAGGACTCTCTGGTCCGCGGGCCAATGCTCTAACCACTGAACAAACTGGCCAGGGCTCTTGTGGACTTTTAAGTGTAAGTGTATATAGGCAATCAAATGTTATTTGCTCCTAGGTAGCTTTCACTTTTTTGTTGCTACTGAGAAAGTAATTATATTTTTGAACTTTGTATATAAAGGAAAATAATCAACTTTTCATTTCTATATTAAAAGATAACTATTCTTTTGGTTTAAAAATGTAGTTACATCATCTACAAATAATGATATTGTCTTTGCTTGCAGAAAAGTATACTTCTAATTTCTTGTAACAGCTACACTTCTAGAACAATGTTACACAAAAATGGTATACAGGACAATGTGGGAATGTCTTGTACAATCAAATATGGTTTTGACTCTTCATTTGAAACAGGTAAATTTTTAATAACTATGTCAATAAAATATTGTTCCTACTTTAGTAAGAAAATTTTTAAAAATCAAGAATTGACGTTGAAAGGATTTGGCTTTTAAAACATATTAATGACTAAAAACCCCCTTATACAATAGAATATATACTTACGATAATAGATGTTCATCAGGAACTATAAAACAGGGATGAAAAAAAAGTTAATCATATTGACCACAAACATCAAAAGTCTTAAAAAGACTATAACTAAAAATCTTGTGTAAAAATGACGCACTGAGCCTACGTTATCTAATTTTATTCCTTCCCAATATTCCACTAAATAATAACAAGATTTTTAAAAAACGCATAAACTCCCAAGGATAACGAACAAGGAGAAACAATATCTAAGCTACGTTGGAAAATAATTTACAAGACCTGAGAAAACTGAATCCTAAGCTAACAATGATGAGAACCAAGCAACAACCTGATTAACACTCCAGAATCCACAATGTGCCACCCCTCCCCAAAACCTACAGAAATTGGTGGCACCAGATAGTTCTGGAGGTGGGGATGAAGCAGGGTGGCTAAAATAAGGCTCTTTGAAAGTAAGTTTAAGCAGCTAGAATTTAGTAGAATGATGCTTTCAGAAACCTGAAAAAATATTATTTCCAACATATAATTCAATACTTAGCCAAACTATCATTTAAATGTGAAGACAGAAAAAGATATATAAGGCTACAAAAAGTACATCTCAAGTACTTTTCTTCAGTAAGTTAATCCAGTATGGGCTCTATAAAATAAAGTAGTAAACCAAGAAAAAGAAAATTGTAGGAACATAAAGTTCAACATCAGTAATGGGAATTCCCAGGATAATAATGGTGAAGGGAGATCTCAAGAGACAGCCTGGAGAGCAGCCAGACCATGTTAGAGCAATAAGAGGGCTCTCGGAAAGACTTGCATAGGGAAATAAAATTGATAAAACATCTCATTCATTTGAACATCTTGACAGGTTTAGAGCACTGATGATGAGTCTAAGGTTGAATTAGGGATAAATACACAGAAAACGAAAGAAGCAAATATACACAACCACGACAGTTGTTAACTCCAGGGAACATGAAAAGTTACACAGGAAAGGAAGTAATCACAGCTTCCAACATGGCTCAGCTGTGACTAGATTTTACATCAGCATACAAATGCTCTAAAAAAAACACCATTGAACGATGGGGGTCAGGAAGAGTGTATGACTGTCTAGCGCAAAGATTTTTAAATAGCAGAAAGCCGTCTGCTGAAAATAAACAGGACTTAATGGCAGCGGTCCACTGTCTGAGACGTGCGCGCCAGGGGCAGTCTTCCAGCTGTCCGGTGCACGGGTGAGCAGAGCCCACTTCTGGCAACCAGTCTGAGCTGACGACAGGCTGACTTTCCCTACCCTTTAGGGGATCAGAACGTGTTTGAATACCTGGCCTATTCTTCTAAGCATGTCTATTGCGTTAGTTTTAACTGAAATGAGAAAAAAGATGGTCTCACTCTTCTCAATTCTTTAAAAACAGTAACTCAGGATAACCCTTAAAAAGTGCAGTCCTTTTAAAACAAAACCAGCCGAATGAAGAAGCAGTGGCAGTTCTGAGGCCTCATCTGCTATTCATTAAATGGCTCTTTTTACATCGGTTGAGTAGTTCTAACTAGTCGGTGCGTTTGGTCAGAGGTATCCTCTTACCACCGTCTTGCAATCACCGCGGTGGTTTCGGTGAGCGTGGTCACAGAGCACCCTCTGCTGGTCGGAGGACAACAATGTTAAGATTTACTCCAGTCACTGCCTACGCATTTGGGTTTTGTGGCTCGAAAATATGTATTTGCTGAACAAAGTGTATGAGAGGATTAGACAACCTAAGATTTTGAGGAAAAAAGAGTACAGGCGCGTTTAATAATTTAAAGTTTTACCTTTCTATAAGCCCCTGAAGGCTCCCGTCCCTTCCCCCCTCCTGGCCGGGACCCTCCTCCCGCGGGAATCTCCGGCCGCGCCCAGCTCGTCCAGCCCGGGTTCTCCACGGCTCGCCGCCGAGGGGCCGCACGGAGCGACGGCGCCGTGCTGCTGACACACTGTGCTTTCCCCTCTTCTCTCCCTCTGCCCTCTCCCCGCCCCTTCTTCCTTTTTCTTTTCTTTCCCTCTTTTTTTACGAACAAGGGGGTCTGGAGATAACCCCAGAGAAAAAAGCCCCGCAGGCGGGGGCCCAGAGCCCGCCGCGCGCGCCTGCCCCCGGGGCGGCGCACGACCCGCCCCAGACACACACGCCCCGGGCTCGTACTTCGCGCGCTCTCCCGCACGGCGGCGGCCATCTCGCTCAGGAGCTCCTCCACGACAGTCGGCAACGTGGCCGCCGCTAAGGCGACGGCCATGGCCCACGCCGACGTGGCCTCCTCCGAAGGCCCAGCAGGAGCAGCGGGCAGCCAGATCAGGAGGACGGCGTGAACCGGCCGGGGCGGGGCGCAGTGACGTTTCCATGCGTCGTCGCGCATGCGGACGGCGAGGTGTCTGTCTGCTCGGTACGTCTCGACCCTACCAAACCCGCGGGCGTTGCGCGCTGCGCGCTGCGCGCTGCGGGCAGGACGTCCCAGGATCTGGCCCGGCCCGCAGTGCGCAGAGGACGCGGCGCGGGCATGTTCCGGCTCCTGAGCCCCAGCCTGGGCCGCGGCCTGCTGCGCGCCGCGGGGAGGCGGTGCCGGGTCTGTTCGGCGCACCTGCTCCCGGGGCCGGCAGGAGGTCGGGCGCCCGAGGTGGAGGTGCCGCCGTCCCGAGTCGCGCCGCCCGGCGGGGGTTCGGGCCTGCTGCCGCTGCTGGCAGGTGTGGGTTGCGGGCCGGGCGGGGCGGGGCGCGGGCGCGGGCGGGGCCCGGGGCGCGGGCGGGGCGGTGACCTCGGAGCCCTCTCCGCAGCGCTCGCGTGGTTCTCGAGGCCGGCTGCCGAGGAGGAGGAGGAGCGGCAGGGAGCGGGCGGGGCCGCCCAGGATGCGGCGGACGCGGCGGAGGCGGAGATCATCCAGCTGCTGAAGCGAGCCAAGGTGAGGCGGCCTCGATGCGCGGTGCTGTCTCCAGTTTGCGGAAGCCTGGATGGAGGCCCCGAGGGTAACGGTGCCCGGAATTGGATGGGTCGTGGGGGCTGGGGGCGGGGGCGCTGGGACCCTTCCAGGCTCGTCAGACTGCACAGCTCTCCGTGAGCCGCCGCAGTCGAAGCGGGGGTGGGCGTGGCCCACAGGCACTCTTCTTTCAGTAGCAGAAGTGTCTAGTCGTTGTTGGTCAGCGCACCGGCCGGGCTGGCCAGGCTGGCGTAGAGAATTTTTCACATACAGTGTGTAACGTCCTGAAAATGAAATTTAATGGTGCTTATGAGTGGTTTGGTTCTCGTCTTTCTAAACTGTTCCTTTCCACCACGTTCTTTTCTGTTTTCTCCCCAGGTTATCTCGAATCTTTTATAGGGCTAACTACCGCCTTGATGCCAACAACGGCCACATTCATATTTCCATGCTGCAGTGTGCTACTGGCATGCCATCTCCACTTTCAGGCTCTGGTTACTTCTTAGATTTAACTGGCCCAAAACTAAGCTCTTGGTCTGAAATTCCTCCCCAACACATTTCCTTCAGCATTTTCTCTTCACCACCATCTACTCAGCCTGAAAACCTCATAGTCATTCTTAAAACTTGAGGTACCTTACCCCCACCTTTCAATACACTTACAGTGCAGCAACAAATCCTGAGGCCAACAAATCCAAACAGTCATCCATCCCCCTTTTCTCTATTTCCTCTGCTATCTTTCTAGCTGTATTGTCACAGGCTACTACCTAGCAGTCTTGCCTGTCCTGTTGCCCCCTACATTCTATTCTCCACGCAGCAGCCAGAGTGATTTTTTTTTTTTAACCTCACCCGAGGACATTCTTCCATTTTCTGTTCAGATAGAGTGGGAGGAAGACAGAGAGAGAAACACCTACGTGAAAGGGACACGAGTGGCTGCCACCCACACGACCAACCAGGGCTGAGGACAAACTGCAACCAAGGTACGCGCCCTTAGTGGGAACCGAACCTGGGTCTCCCTGGACCACAGGCCAACGTTCTAACCGCTGAGCTAAACCGGCCAGGGCCAGAGTGATTTTTTTCAAAAAAGTAAATCAGATTATATCACCTTGCCTAAAACCTTTGAATGACTTCCACTGCATTTTTTTTTTTTTTAAATCCTCACTCAAGGATATGTTTTCTCACTGACTTTAGAGAGGAAGAAATAATGATATGAGAGAGAAACATCAGTTAGTTGCTTCCCATATGTGCCATGACCAGGGATGGAACTCGAAACCTTTTTGGTGTACTGGATGACACTCCACCCAACTGAGACACCCAGCTGGGGCTTTTCACTGCATTTATGATAAAGTTCAAGTTCCTTGCCATGGCCTGCAAGACCCTACATGATGGATACCATCCTATCTTGTCCATCCATATGGCAATAATCCTCTGGTTCACCATCTTTCTTTCAGATCTTCTTCTTTTCATTTTGTGTATCGTTCTTAAAAAAATATTCTCTTCAGCCTGTAGGTCCTTAGCTCATTTCTTACTCTCTGTTTGGGTCATTTTCCCCACAATTCCTTGTTTGGTTGACTCTCATCCTTCCTACCTCAGTTTAACTGTCACTTACTTCCTTGGAAAGCTCCCATTTAGAGGAGAACCTTATTGTCCTTTTTCATAGCTCTTATCATTAGTTGTAATTAAGCTTATTTGTCATACAGGGTCACTTCCAGACTGCAGGAAGAGAGAAAGAGGATGTATGGCAAGGAGCTTTCTTATAAAATATGATGTAAAAATTTCTCACATTCCTGCTCTCTGCATCTTCTGGCCATAACTTTGCCATGTGGCCATACATAGCTGCAAGGGAGGCTGACCTCTCTGTCAATATTGTAGACATAATGCCTGGTGTACAATAGGAATTCAGTAAATATTTGATGAATGAATGACTGGCTTCCTTCTGTGTATTGGGATGTATAGTCATATCCTTTTATGTTTGGTAGCACATGCATCTGCTTTCTTTACATTACATTTTTTTTCCCCTCTCTTTTCAGTTGAGCATCATGAAAGATGAGCCAGAAGAGGCTGAGCTAATTTTGCATGATGCGCTTCGTCTTGCCTATCAGAGTGGTAACAAGAAGGCCATCACTTACACTTATGATTTGGTAACTCATATAACTAATCTGAGCCACTGATGAAGGGTGGATGCAAGAGAAGGATTGTTAGCTCTCCCTATTTATATTTCTAACCTTCAGAAATATAAAGCTGTTGGTTTTTGTTTTTACTAAGTTTTCTTTTTGTCTAAGTTTTTATTCTTGGGGTGTCACTTATAAGAAGTTTCAACCCCAGACCAAAAAGAAGTAAATATTATTAACATTTGTTTCCTCAAGGATGAGTGAATCTAGATTTGGTTTGACATCCACAAAGCATATACAAGCATTTATTTTCTTAACCATTGCTGTATTTCCCTTCTAGCAGATTAGTTTCATACTTTTCTCTCTGAATAATTTTTTATTTAGAGGATGAAAGCAAAAAGGAGGTATTAGCGTAAAAGTTTTGAAATAAATAGGAACACAGTGCTCTAAACTGAAAAACAATTTGTCATTTGCTTCCAGATGGCCAACTTAGCATTTATACGGGGTCAGCTTGAAAATGTAAGTAAGTAAATCACTTTCTCATATCTTGAATTTGTGAAGGGCTGGCTTCAAGGGAATGCTATTATTAAGGGTACAGGATAAGCCACTGTAACAAACAGACCGCAAAACAGTGACTCAAACAAGGAGCTGTATTTTTCTTTAATGCATTAATCCAGAAGTAGTTAAACACCGAAGAGGGCTATGTATTTTTGTTCCATGAAGTGGTCCAGAAGGCTAGGGTTTCTTCTTAGGTAAGTTCTCATCTGTATAGATGAGCTGGCCTACCTCCAGCTTGCAGGAAGGAAGAAAGACAGGAGGGGGGCAAGCAGCTTCCTTATAAAATATGATTTAAAAATTGTTCACATTCTTTCTGCCTGCATCTTTTGGCCAAAACTTTATCATAAGACTATACCTAATTGCAGAGGAGGCTGATCTATTTAAAAATTGAGGAGATTCTCTAACTAAAAAAATGGAGAGGAGGAGTGAATATTAGGGAATAGTTTGCAGTCTCTGCCTTAGTGGGTTTGGATTCGAAGTTAACTTCTAAAGTTTCTACTCATCGCACAATAGTTTTTAAGGTACCCAAAGGATGCGGGGTCCAGGTTTTTAGTCTGTTTTCCCATCACAAGGATACTTTTCTCTGTGTGTATGTGAATGTGTGTGTAAATGTGTATTGTGTTTTATGAGGAATGATGCATCAGATTAGAACTTAGAATCCAGGGTCATCTAGATAGTGGAACCCAAGTAAATGAAATCTTTTCCTTATGCTTTTAGGCGGAAAAACTTTTTAAAGCAACAATGAGTTACCTGCTTGGAGAGGGCATCCAGCAGGTAAGGATATTGCCTAGGATTGGGCCCTAGCTGAAGCAGGTTTCAAAACAATTTTGCTTCCTGAAAACTCCACCCAGCTCTCAACATCTCAACATGTGCTTTGGCCAAAAAAAGGTAGATTCTCCCTGCCCACGGCTTGTATAAACACTGCCACTCTTGCCCTGGCTTGTGTGTTCAGTGGTTAGAGCATTGGCCCACACACTGAAGGGTCGCTGGTTCTATTCCTGGTCACAGTGCATACCTGGTTGCAGGTTCAATCCCCAGTACAGTTGAAGCTCGTTTGGGAGGCAACCAATCAATGTGTCTCTCTCACATCAATGGTTCTCTCCCTCACTTCTTCCCTTTCTCCCTTCCTTCTTTGCCTTCCCTCCCTCCCTTCCACTCTAAAAAAATCAATGGAAAAAATATCCTCAGATGAGGATTAATAAAAATTACCTGCCACTCTTCTACTCGTGCTGAGAGATTCACATTTGCCTAATTCCACCAAAAGGATAAAGACTGTTTTTTGGGCCATAGTCAATCTAGAAGTTGATCTGAAATAGTCCATGAAGAAATTTTACTTTTCATGTATTTCTTCCTTTTTGTTTTTCCCAACAGGAAGACAATGCAATAATTGAAATCTCTCTAAAGTTGGCTAGTATCTATGCTGCTCAGAATAGGTAAGTATAGCCAGAATCTAGGACTGTGGGCAGAAAACTTTGATCCTGGGATGTTACATAATTTTCATTTACCTACTGGGTCTCCGAAAAAATTGGGTGTCACATTCAAAGTGATCCATCCTTCTTCGTCTTTGAAATCTTCAGTCTTTCCCAATTTTGCCCCTGCTGTTTCATTGAGCCTGCTGAGTGGGCCCTATAGCCCCCTAACCCTGGCTGTACAGTGACAAAGCTAATCAAGGGAAGTTACAGTTAGAACTTTAGTTTAGCTCTTCCTAGAAGAGGAGGGCAATGTAAAAGCTGCTAGGGATAATAAACTTGGAAGGAGTCATGTTGCTGTTATATGTATTAACCAACCAGGAAGTTGGGTATAAAGTTAAATGAGAGTATCTTAGTGGCTAGTTTGGTGGGCAGTGTTTTTAAAGCATGCAGAGATAGTCAGGTGGCTAGGTTTTAGGAAGGGGAAATGTCTAGGAGTAGAGGAAAGACTTTTGGTAAATGAGACAGGAAATTGGTGCTAATTTAAAAGTATTAGATGAGTCTCAATTCTTAAAAAGAAGAAAGTCTGCCAGTTATACAGGAAAGGAAAGGCATTAGAAAACAATTTGGATGTGTGCCAAAGGTCAGGAACTCTTGATTGATGGCTGGTGCCTTTCATTCTCTCCATGTGGAGTTTAAAGAAACATTTAGGATATAAGTTGGGAGGGTACTTAAAGCACTCCTCTAGAGGGTTATATTCTGGGATGAATTTAAGGGAAAGACAAGCTCTTCCTTAGATTTTTAGTTGCTGAAGAAATTGGGTACTAGAGGTTTGGAATAACATCAAGTCTGGTGCTATAGAATGAGTGCTCATTGAGGCGAGGGGACCCTGGCACTGATGCCTGCTGTCCCTTGTTACCAGTTCCTTCATTCTTAGCAGGTACCACTTAGTCTTCCTGCACTTGTTTGGATACTAGATAGGCAAGAGTTTCAGAGGGCCTTTTGACTTTCAGTCTTTTGTGGAGCTTTGAGGTTGGTCTGTTACTCACTTGGAGGAGTAACAAACAGGACTAGATGTTGATGGGGTATGAACTCCTGGGTAAGCAGCAGCCCAAAGCTAATAATACAGGAGAGTAAGACAAATTCATGATCTTATAGAGATGAAGACTTGTGTAGAAGCCACTAATAATGAGTTTGTAAATTACTCTGTACTCTCTTCAAAAGTGTTTTTTATTTTGTTTTATTAAGCATGAGACCAGAAAATATGCAGTCAGATCCTGAGACTTAGAGACACTGGTAGTTGGGAGGAAAGTCTTTTACAGACATTTTGCTCTGACTAGGAGCATATTGTGGCCAGCAGCCTCTTCAGGTCCATGTCCTGGCTGGATACCAAACCATCAATGCCAAGGTTTGGATCTGGGGGAGCTTCTGTTCTTCCCTGTAAAGCACTAAAAGAGAAGGAATGAGCTTTGTAGTACCACTTCTGTTAAGAAACTAGAGCCAAAACATAGAGCAAGAACCAGGACTGAGCTTCTGGTGGAGAAGGAACTTCTGTCATGGTTTCTGTGCATCTCTTTATAGAAACCAGCAGTTGATGCTTATTCTGCCCAGAGTCAATCTGCCTGCTGCTGGGGAACCAGGGCTAGAGGGTCCAGGGCTAGAGTGAGGCTAAATCCCTCTAGCTGTAGCTGGGAGTTCCATTTCTGTAAAAGAAACTTTCATCAAAGATCTACAGCTTGGAAGACGTATTCAGGTTATTCCAGAAATTGTATGAGGTCGTTAGTTAAGACTCCCAATACAGGGAGTGGCCTCCATTCATAGTAGAATTGCTTTGAGCAGGTGTAGGCTTTAACAGATGGAGAAACTGACTCACTTGAAACTGTTAGAGGGGGTGATGAAAATTGATGGTTATGTCTTTTATTAAAACCATGGCTGCATTCCTAGCTTTTTATGTCTTAAGTTACATTAAATGGGTGACTACAGGAAATATCTAACTTTTGAGAAATAGCAGATTGACATCCCTCAGATACTTTAAACACAATTTCTCTTCCCATCTTACACTTCCTTTATTGATATATTCAAACCCCAGCTGGGGATAAAAGAGGAATTTGTGAAAAGTGAGTGGCTGATTGCTGATCTTTGCTTTACAGACAGGAATTTGCTCTTGCTGGCTATGAATTCTGCATTTCAACTCTAGAGGGAAAAATTGAAAGAGAAAAGGAATTAGCAGAAGACGTTTTGTCAGGTAGGGAAATCTGACTTTTCTGGACATTGCCACAAAAGGCTTCACTGTTAATCTGTGGTAAAGGGAATCAGGGGAGGGAAAGTCATCCATTTGGGAAATTAAGTGTCTATGTTTAAGGTCTCAGCAGAGGATTTGGGATAAGATATTTTGATTAAATGACTTGACCACTGGTGTTTTTTTAACCCCCTTGGTGACATGTTCATAATTTATCTGTTGACTTTTATTATATGTAACTGCTGGAAAATTGAGCAGAAAGGGAAGGTTCAGCTACCAGTCACAATGCTAATTAATTACCTTTTGGTGTTAGATACATGACACGTTCTGTTTCAACTCATGTTTTTGCAATTCGTCTTTAGTATGGAGGGAAGAGCCTGAAGATTTAAACTAAAAATAGGATGGGATGGGCAGGAAGCTCTCCAGCTCTGAATGATTTGGGTTCAAGTATTAGCAAGATGTTTGAGATACAGCAGTCAACTCTGTTGTGTCTAAAGCAGTAAATATGCCTTGAAAGAGTTGTCTGTGCTCAGTTGTCTTCCAATTCTCTCCTGGACATCAAATCGTTTTTTCCTCCATCACTCTACTGAAGCTTTCCTTCCTTATCTTACCTACCATACTTATTAGCAGTCTGACCCAGGTGATCACTGTCTTCTATTGGAAACACTTTATTCACTTGCCTTCTCCTGTGCCATCTCTAAAGTTAGCAGATCTCAGGGCTGACTTTGGCCCTCTTCTCTTTTTCTTTCTGCCCTCACACCCTAGGAGATAACATTTAAATCCTATAACTTTAATATCAGTTTTACATCTTCAGCCCCAACTTGCATATGAACTGCAGACTCGTGGGTAAGCTTGTCTACCTGACATCTTGAATGTCTGATGGTCATCTCATACTTACCATGTCTGAAATGGGTCTCTCTCTCTCTCTTTTTTTAAATTGTGCGTTTACTATCCCAGGTCACATCTCCTTCCATCATCATTTATCCCTTCCTATACCTCTCCCTCCCCCAACCCCACTTCCCTTCTGGTATGCTATTGTCTGGGTCTATGAGCTTTGTTTTGTTTTTAATTAATCCCTTCACCTTTTCACCAGCCTTGCAACCCTATTCCCCTTTGACAACTGTCAGTCTGTTCTCTGTCAGTCTATGAGTCTGTTTCTATTTTGTTTGTTAGTTATTAAATTCCGCATATGAGTGAAGTCATAATGGTACTTGTATTTCTCTGACTGGCTTATTTCATTTAGCATAATGATCTCCACGTCCATCTATGTTGTTGCAAAGGGTAAGATTTTCTTTACTTTTTTTTTTTTACAGCTGGGGAATATTCAATGAAATGGGTCTCTTGATTTTTACCATTGACAAACTTGTTTCTTCACTAAGCCTCAGTTTAGCAATTTTTTTTTTTCTTTTCTTTTTTTCAAATCTTTATTTTTGGATGTAAAATGTATTACAGATGTTCCACATTTTTCCCCCATTGACCCCCCTCCTCCCCCCTCCCGCCCCCCTCCCACCTTTTCCCACACTATTGTCTGTGTCCATTGGTTATGCATATAAGTTCTTTGGTTTATTTCTTCCCACCCTCCCAACCCCTTTCCCTTTGAGGTTTGTCAGTCTAGCAATGAATTTGTGCTTCTTAATCCCTTCACCTTTTTCACCCATTCCCCCAACCCCCTTCCCAACTGGCAACCAACAAAATGTTCTCTGTATCTATGAGAATGTTTCTGTTCTTCCTGTTCATTTTGTTTGTAGATTCCATTGTTGATAGATATGTATTCATTGCCATTTTGTTTGTTCATACATTTTATCTTTTTCTTCAAAAAGATCCTTCATCATTTCATATAATAATGGTTTGGTAGTGATGAACTCCTTTAACTTTTTCTTGTCTGAGAAAGTTTTTATATGTCCATCGATTCTAAATGACAGCTTTGCAGGATAGAGTAATTTTGGTTGTAGGTTCTTGGTTTTCATCACTCTGAATATTTCTTGCCACTCCCTTTTGGCCTGCAAAGTTTCTTTTGAGAAATCAGCTGACAGCTTAATGGGTACTCCCTTGTAGGTAACTAGCTGCCTTTCTCTTGCTGCTTTTAATATTCTCTCTTTGTCTTGAACCTTTTGCATTTTGATGATGATGTGTCTTGGTGGGTGCCTCTTGGGGTTCATCTTGTTTGGGACTCTCTGTGCTTCCTGAACTTGTATGTCTGTTTCCTTCACCAAGTTAGGAAAGTTTTCTGCCATTATTGTTTCAAACAGGTTTTCGATTTCTTGTTCTCTCTCTTCTCCTTCCGGCACCTCCAAGATGCGAATGTTGGCACGCTTGAAGTTGTCCCAGAGGCTCCTTACACTATCCTCATTTTTTTGGGTTCTTTTTTCTTTTTGTTCTGATTGGGGATTTTTTGCTTCCTTATATTCCAAATCGATGGTTTGCTCCTTGGATTTACATACTCTATTATTGAAGCTGTGTAAATTATTATTTCAGTTAATGCCTCCTTTAATTCTAACTGTGTATCCATGATTTCTAACTGGTCCTTTTTTATGCTCTTGAGGCCCTCCCTAAGTTCACTGAAGTTCTCACTAAGTTCATTGAGCATCCTTATAAGCAGTATTTTGAACTCAGTATCTGTTAGGTTGCTTATCTCCCTTTCGCTTAATTCTTTTATTGGGGTTTTGTTCTGTTCTTTCATTTGGGACCTGTTTCTTTGTATCCTCATTTTGGCTGCCTCCCTGTGTTTGTTTCTGTGTATTACTTAATGAGAGGTATGGGGCTCGCTGAGACCCGATGCTGCTTGTTTGAAAGAATTTAGGAAAAACCTGAAGCAGGATCCAAGACTGGCCAATCCTATGGTTAAGCAAGTGGCAACAGCTTGGGTGGGCTTGAAAGTTGTGTGGGGTGGGGCGGGGCCTCAGGGAGTCAGCAGGGCGGGGCTACCAGTGTGAGCCAGGTTGCTGGAGTCCCAGATATGGCTTCTGTCTGCCGCCCCCGGGAAGGGCTCACCAAAGGAACAAAGGCCTCTTACAGCACGTTTGTCCCCGAGGAAGCCCCCTCTCCAGCCCTCGCTCCAGTGCCAAACAGCTCAGTTCTTCCCTGTATGTCTCTGGAGCCCCTCGAGCTGCCTCCCCTCCGAGCTTAGAGGGAGAGAGTCCGATAAGTCCGTGCGTGGGCCCTTTAGGGAGCTGCCTGGGGCTCCAGCCGCCTCAGCTTCCCTGCGCCTCAGTTTCCGCTGGTTTTTCCAGCCAGAAGTTATGGGGACTTCTCTTCCTGGCACTGGAACCCTGAACGGGGCACCTGATGTGGGACGGGGACCCCTCAGTCCTCAGGAAGGACCTTCCCAGCCGCGGGAGCCTCCTGATTTTTATCCACCACGCTTGGGTGTGGGACCAGCCCGTCTCGCCGCCGCTGCGCTGCCAGTCCTACCAGTCTGGATGTAGCTGCTTTTTTTTTTTAATTCCGTAGTTGTACGACTTCCATTCAGCTTGATTTCAGGCGGGTTTGAATGATGGTTGTTCTGTAGTTTAGTTGTAACTTTGATGTGGTTGTGGGAGGACGTGATACCGCGTTTACTTACCCGCCATCTTGACCGGAAGTCCAGTTTAGCAAATTACACCACCATTCATTCACCCAGTTCCTTTGGCCAAGAACCTAAGAATCATATGATTTCTTCCTCATTCCTTATACGTAATTCACCAGCAAGTTACATTGGGTCAGCCATCAAAATATATCATTTCAGACCATGTCTCATCCTCTTGCCCTACTGCTTTGGTCAAGGCCATCATTGTCTCTTGCCTGGACACTTGTAATAATCTCTCACAGGTTTTCCTGCTTCACTTCATTCCCTCACACAATCTATTACTCGTGCAGCAGGCTGAGTGATCTTTTAAGAACTCAGTGCCTTTGGCCCTGGATGGTTTGGCTCAGCATTTGGAGCGTCGGCTTGCAGACCAGAGAGTCCCAGGTTTGGTTCCTGCTAAGGGCATGTACCTCAGTTGCAGTTTGTCCCCAGCCCCATTTGGAGTCGTGTGGGTGGCAGCCACTCAATGTATCTCTCTCACATTGATGTTTCTCTTCCTTCTTCCATCTCTCCCTCCTGCTCTATCTGAAGATAAATGCAAAAGTGACCTCGGGTGAGGATAAAAATAAATAAAATAAATAAATAAAGAACTCAGTGCCTTTGCATCATCTTTAGAATAAATTCAGAATCTCTGTGTGGATATATAAAGCCCTACATGATCTGACTCCCAACTACCACTTCTCCTTCCTCTTGTGCTCTCCCCCTTGCTCATTCCACTTTCCCCACACTGCTCTTTTTTCACTATTCTTGTACATTCCAAGCTAATTGCTTCTAGGTCTTTTCCCTCTGCCTAGCTTGTTCTCCTATATCTTTTTTTTTTTTTTTAAAGAAAGCTAATTTAGAGTGCAGTGCTCTCAGAGGGGAAGAGTCACCGCCTGCTAGATGCTGAGTTAGAATGGAAACGTCTGAACATGCCTATTCATCACCCCTAGGAGTTAACACTGAGAACCCTGCTTTATGTTGTTGCTTGCTACATACTTTTTCAAAAGGATCATACTGAAATAAAAAAAACATGTTTTTGGAATTAAGGGAAAAATACAAGCATGCTGAACATCTGGTTTCTTCATTAGAAGAAAAAAACAACTATTTAAAACTGTCAACAAGTCAATAAAAATATGTACAAGGGTTAGTTAGTTAGTAAGGAAAATCTCTTCTACTCCCTAGAAAAGACAGGTCCACATTGTGTTTATAAAGGCCCAGAGAGAGAAAACATATTTGGGGCAGGGCGTTATTGAGGGAGGAGAGAGATACATTGAAGTGCTTGGAGGGGCAGACACTAAAGTTGCTGACATCAGGGTAAGAAAAAGCCCCTGGCCCTGGCCGGTTTGGCTCAGCGGTTAGAGCGTCGGCCTGCGGTCCGGAGAGACCCGGGTTCGGTTCCCGCTAAGGGCACGTGCCTTGGTTGCAGTTTGTCCCCGGCCCTGGTTGGGTCGTGTGGGTG